AGAAGTAGAGCAAACATATGTGAAGAAGTCTTAGGGGATCATACTGCAATACAATGTTCTCAGGGGGAATAATGACACTCCACGTTTTACAACAGAAGATGGAGGCCTTTTCAGATCATGTGGCCACTACGAGAATCAGCCGCTGTGGAATGGAGGCTTCTTAAGAACTGGGAAGCTTATGTCAAGAAGAGGAAGGGGGATGAACAGGTAGAGAAGCAGATGGATGTTAAGAAAGAAAAAAGAGCCGAAACCGGTTTGGCTCAGTGGATGGAGCGTCGGCCTGCGGACTGAAGGGTCCCAGGTTCGATTCTGGTCAGGGGCATGTGCCTGGGTTGCGGGCACATCCCCAGTGGGAGATGTGCAGGAGGCAGCTGGTTGATGTTTCTCTCTCATCGATGTTTCTGATTCTCTATCTCTCTCCCTTCCTCTCTGTAAAAAATCAATAAAATATATTTAAAAAAAAAAAAGAGGTCACATTAGAGCATTGGTGCTCAAAGTGTTTACTAACCCTTTGAAGTCTCTGAGACAAAATTATGCATGGGTAAAAGTCATTCAAAGTGCTAGATAACCAATGGATTTTAATGTTACGGAGTATAAAACGTTCCTAGATAAGGTTTTAGATTCCTCATTGCAGCTAACTTAATAGTCGGTTGCAAAATAGCAGCCAGGAGCAACAAGGGCTGCTATGACAGGAAATGAATTATCTTGCCTGTTTTCTATCTGTGGTATCTTTCGAGGTCAGTATTTGCAAGAGTTCTGTAATAAACCCAGACGGCTGCCCAGCCTTCATGTGATCGATGTGAGCTGTTCCGAGTTTATTGGTAGATCGTGAGCCCAGTTCAGCCCAGTAATTTGATTAGCCTGGGAAAGAATGTGGTGAAATGGAATCTTTAGGACTATGAACTTTCCAGTGTGTAACAGATTTTTACCACCTGTTTCATTTCCCATAACTTGCTCTCATATCAAATCCAGAGAAAAGTTCTACCTGACCCTATACTATGTAATAATTTACAACATTATATTGAAGCTTAACTGTATCTTCTTCTCTTTCTCTTTTTTTTTGTTAATCCTCACCTGAGGATTTTTCCATTGATTTTTAGGGAGAGTGGAAGAGAGAGAGGGAGTGACAGAGAGAAACATTGATGTGAGAGATACCGATTGGTTGCCTCCTGCATGAGCCTGACCAGGGCCCGACCCAGGGAGGAGCCTGCAACCAAGGTACCCTTGACCAGAATCGAACCGGGGACCCTTTGGTCCGAAGGCCGATGCTCTATGCTCTATCCACTGAGCAAACCGGCTAGGGCTCTTCTCTTTTTAAAAAAATGCATTTTGCATTGTAGAATAGGAAAGGTACTCAGCTCTACTTTTTTGGTTTTAGAACGGTTTTCTACATGTTCTTCTTTTTTAATCCTCACCCAAGGATATTTTTTAAAAATTTATTTTAGAGAGAGAGGAAGGGAGAGAGAGAGAAAGGGAGAGAGGAAGAGACATTGATGTGAGAGAGAAATATTGATCAGTTGCCTCTTGTGTGTGCCAGGACTGGCATCGAACCCACAACCTAGATATGTGCCCTGACCAGGAATCGAACCGGCAACCTTTCAGTGTATGGTATGACACCCAACCAGTTGAGCAACACCAGCCAGGGCTACATGTTCTGTTTTAACAACTTTTCTTTTTTTGTCCAAAGTAAGGATTTGTGGTCTATATAGCAATATGAAATCACCAGTAAACACAGTCTAGATTGTTCTGAGCGGCATGACATGTGGCTTAGTGTTCTGATCATAGGTGGATTTACTACAAAGCTAATGATACCTACACTTCTATGAAGCTAATTATACCTCCATTTTTAAGGTTCCTCATTTGCATACGCCCCTTTTATATTTGTAATGTTGAATCTTTTTTTTTTTTAAAGATGCCCATTCAAATTTAAAAGGCTTCTGAGACAAAATTTTTTTTTTTAAATATATTCCATTGATATTTTTACAGAAAGGGAGAGGGATAGAGAGTTAGAAACATCGATGGGAGAGAAACATCGATCAGCCGCCTCCTGCACACCTCCCACTGGGGATGTGCCTGCAACCAAGGTACATGTCCTTGACTGGAATCGAACCTGGGACCTTTCAGTCTGCAGGCTGACACTCTATCCACTGAGCCAAACCAGTTAGGGCCCGAGACAAAATTTTAATCTACCACACAGTATATATTCTTAGCACCAAGAATAGTAATCCTTTACTGACAAATAAGCTAAAAACCATCCTCATGGGGCTCCTTTTCAAGTGAAACTTTTGAGGAGGCAGCAATATTTGTCCTTTTCAGACCCTCAGGCTCTAAGAGAACTTCATATTTTTTAGCCTCAGTGCTCATAAGTATTCACCAACTCTTAACCGTCTTTTCTTTCTGGATTTCTCAGCCCCTTACTCCAGAGTCTTCTGTTCTTTGCTCTCCCAGTGTTATCATGTGATAAGAGCAGTGGCAGCAGCAGCGCAGCACTGTGCTAACTGCTCCCCATGCCTGCCTCTCTGAGGGTGGAGACTCCCCTGTCCGCATTTTGCAGACGAGGAGACAGTCTGAGAGAAGTTCATTAACTTGCTGAGGTCACGCAGCATGGCCAGTGCTGTCGCTGAGACTCAAACCTGGGTGTTGCTGGTAATATCTCTTACTGGTTTCATCTTCCTGCTCTCAGTCAGATGTCTTGGGATGAGAATCTAAGAAAATCTCAACACAAAGTACCGTCTTAGGGCCTAGAAGCTTTTATTGTTTTACAGTGTAATGTTTTATTTTTAATCTGGGTGTTAGGCACACAGGCATTTTTTTCTTCTTCTTTATATCCTGTGCTACATATTTTATGAACATTCTTTTTATAGCTACAAAACGTTTAAGAGATTGTAGAAAAGAACAATTATTATTTTTATGAAATACATTTTTTTATTCATGTAATTGTAGCAATTTAAAATGCAAAGCAAAAAGTCCCATAAAAAAATATCACCACCCTGCCCTGGCTAGTGTAGCTCAGTTGATTGGGCGTTGTCCCAGGCACCAAAAGTTTGCTGGTTCAATTCCCGGTCAGGGCACATGCCTGGGTTGTACGCTCAATCCCTGGTACTGGGTGTGCAGGAGGCAGCCAATTGATGTTTTCTCTCACATTGATCTCTCTCTCTCTCTCTCTCTCTCTCTCTCTCAGTCTCTCTCTCTTCTCCCTTCTCCTTCCTCTCTCTCTAAAAGTAAATAAAAGTAAAAATCAGAAAACACATGTCATGTCAAGTGATACATCATTCTATAGTGTTTTTATGTTTATATATAGAAAGGATAGACATTATTAGAATTATTTTAGTTATTTTGTGTGTCTAACAAACCGCCGCAGAAGTGAGTGGCTTATAACAACAAAAACCAGGTATTTACCTGGGCTTAGGAGCTCTTTAATGCTCTGTAGAGCTTGCCACAACCAGTTTCAGAACTGCCCCCGAACATGGAGGAGTCTTTTAGTTATCTAACTTCATTGGTCTCTAGGCAAACAGATCAGCAGTTGCCTCGTATACATCAGGACATATGGTCAGTATTGCTTCACTCCTGTGTTAGGACCCATAGCCCTATGTACCTGGCACATGTAGACGTTTGAGGAAGATTCATGAACAGTGAATTAAATGGTGGTGCCTTTTGTGGACCTGGCTTCTTCACACTGAGCTGTCTTTTTGCCCGGCTTAGGTATTTGGCTCGAGTAGGGGAGCTTGAAGCTACTGATACTGAAGACCCAAATCTAAATTACGGACTTGTTGTGGACTGTGGCAGCAGTGGCTCCCGGATTTTTGTTTATTTTTGGCCAAGACATAATGGGAACCCCCATGATTTGCTGGACATCAAACAGATGAGAGACCGCAACAGCCAACCGGTGGTTAAAAAAATCAAGCCAGGTACTAACGGAATATATTTGTTGTCAATCTCTCTTATCTGTTACAGACTTGGGAGAGGAGAGAAGAGATATCCTTTTCTCTTGGGAGTCTGGATAATGGGAGGCATATCTCATTCATTGCCTCCCTCCCTCAATTAAATAAAAGTTTAGGACCGTAAGCAGAACCTGTTGGGAATCAGTTTCTGAGCGCTTCTGAGTGCATGTGATCTGCTTTTTAAAGAAAGTATTTTCTGTTTCTGAAGGAATCTCTGCCATGGCAGACACTCCCGAGCATGCCAGCGATTACCTTCGTCCTCTGCTGAGCTTTGCTGCTGCGCATGTGCCTGTGAAGAAGCACAAGGAGACCCCCCTCTACATTCTGTGCACCGCGGGCATGCGGCTTCTTCCTGAGAGGTGAGATGCAGGGGCTGAGAAACACGGAAATGGGTGGCAGGAGAGAGGAGCGGCTGATTCCAGGCGTGTCCCCTGTGGTTTCCTGGTCTCAAGGCGGGATGTGGATTCACCACAGAGTTGACAGGTGGCACTAAAAGACTCCTTGCTCAAAAATAGGGCAGATCTACCCCTGTACCCAATGATTTCACAGGAAATTGTTCACACCTTTATGTCATTTGCTTCTTTGGGATCCATATCTATCTGAGATGGCTGTAATGATTCTTAGTTTTGATTGAGGGTTTGGAGCAGTGGTGATGGTGTTCAATTTGGATCATGAGGCACCCAGAACGGGAGCATAGTAACAGAATGGTAGTGGGAAGGTCACCAGAGGGACCGGGTACCTGGGGGCTAGTCGGACGGCTCGGGTAGGAATGCTGCTTTATGTGTAACTTTGCCTGACTCCCTGGTGATAGTTGGTGCTACGTGCAGAGCTCAGGCTTCATTGCTACACTGACCAGTCTTTTCAAGCCCAGCCAGATAAGTCTTTTCCACTTGACCATGGCAGTTAGGCCTGGCATCTTGCTATCTGGTCCCTCTTCCCTTACTGGAAGAGGAGGAGGAAGAGGAAGAGGCAGTGGCTATACTTGGCCCAGATCCCTCTTTGTGATGTCTCCCCTTCGACCACTTCCCTGGCCCCTCCACAGATATATGATCATGGGATGGGAGTGAGCTCCCTTAACTTAGAATTCATCCTTCTAGAATGTTCATCATCTCACAGGCATCAGGCATTTTTTCTTGGTAAACAGCAGTTCCCTTTTTCACAGTTTCATTTTGTATACTTGGCCAACAGTGAAACGTCAGCTATACATTTAAGGCTGCAATGCTGCTTATGCCAGACATGCCAGACAATATAACATATGTCAGCGCTTCTTTCAGTAGACTATTTCCTTCTGTTGAGACATGCAGCTACTGGTTTACTATCTGGTTTGCTGTCAAGAAGCAGATAATTTTATACAGCCATTCATCAACTTGGGGGCCTTCTAGCTCCTTATTTTCCCATGTATCTTGGTCTTTAAAAAAATTTTCTTTTTTAAACTTATTTTTAAAACCAAACTTTAAGTATTAGAGCTGCAATCGTACATCATTAAAGGAAATCTTAAAAGTAAAAACAAAACAGAAAACAAAAAACAAAACACTTACAATCGTACTACTCTATCAAACTGTTTCATTTTGTCACATTCCCTTTCTCTCTGTATGTAATTTCTACAAAGTTGCAATCATACTGTGCATGCAATTTAGAATTTTTGTTTTTGACATAAGTAATATTTACATTGTTCAAAATTTTAGAAACCCAGGGAAGAGTATAGATCAGCAGTCGCCAACCTTTCGGACCTCACGGACCACCAGGGCCCGCGGACCACCGGTTGGCGACCGCTGGCCTAGATAACACAGTAGTGCCACATCACAAGTCTGTGAATAGCCTTATTTATGTCTCACCGCGAAGGAGCGGGTAGGAGGGCCGGAGGAAAACTGACTTGGAGGTAGAACATTAGTCAGCCAGCAGGGCGATGGTTTGGCCACGTTTTGTGTGTCTGGAGCAAAGGAGAGGATGGCCTCATCTCCTGGCACTCTGTCAAAAAATTGTCCCAGCAAACCCCACTATGTTGTTTTACTTCATTTGTCTAAATGTTAACTGTCAGCGTGGAAGCTCTGAACATTAATATCTATTTTATCTTAAGAATTTTTAAAGAACTTGCCTTTTCTTTTAACTTTTTTTCTGATCACCTCTTTTTATAATGCCTAACTGTATCCTGGGTTATGAAGTCATTGCTACCTCTAAAGCAACTGTAGTTATTGACATAAGTGTAACTACCACTGCAAAAACCTGTTTTGTATAAACGATGTTTTACTACTAATTTGTTAGCATTTGTAAGCAGTATTCAAAATGGATTTAAATCAGCTGGACTATATTTTGAATTTATTGGCACTAGGTTTTATTTTTTTGACAAAGGCCTGGACTAGTAGACTGTTTCACCAACCTTTTATTTTGTAATAAAAAAGCCTTTTAAAAATTATAAAGATAATACAAGGTGATATTTAAGGGGAAAAAAAACCTTTTTATTATGGGAAATTTCAAACATATATAAAAGTAGAGAGAACAGTGTAATGAATCCCCATTAACCCAGCTTCAACAGTTGTTAACATTTAGCCATTAAACGTTTTTTAAAAAAACAACTTAGAAAATGAAAGTTAGTGTTTTGTTTTTTAATATAAATTGGAATCATAGCATATGTTGTTTTGTAACCCATTACAACTCAAAATATATTGGACAAATTTTCATGTCAATACATGTAGATATAAATTGACCTCATTTCTTTTAAAATCTGTATAGTATTACATTGTGTGGATGTACTGTAAATAATTTAACCAATTCCTATTGATGTAATTTAGGCTACTTCCAATTTTTCATTGTTATAAATAATGCTGCAGTATTTTTCCTCTTTATATTTTTATTTGATGATGTCCTTGCATTAAATTTCCAAAAGTGTAATAGGTGGGGCAAAGACTAAGGACATTAAAATTTTTGATAAGTAGTTCTGGATTGCCCATTAGAAAGGTTGTACCAGTAATTTTCATTCCAAACAGCAGTGTATGTTGGTGCCCCTTCTTTCATATCATGACTAAAACAAGCAAGCCCTCTTCATTGGGTAGTTAAGAAGCATAACCAATAGGGAGAATGAAATAGCACCTCGTGTTCCCAATGTGAAATCCATGTTGCATGAGTTTTATATGTAAACAATGAATTTTTTTAGAAACTATACTTGACATTATATTGGAAGATTATTACATTAAATTCTTTGCTTTGAAGTGCTAACAACATAACTTTACTAAGTCATGCTGACAACTATCTGAGCCAATAGAATATTTTTGTAATGACTAATTTTAAAAATACAAAATAATTGGTCTTATTTTTAACCAACATTTTTCTCTAGATTCTTATTATTACTTCTAGCTTTGTTTCTTTGCTCTTTGTCTGATAACATGATGATATAACACTGTAGAGGAAAAAATTACCCTATGGATACTAGGTTTCAAATGTTAATCCCAAGTTGTTATAATCTTTGGATTTTGATCCTGATTTGGGGTTCTCAAATGATAAGATTTTATAAAGAAAAATAATTCAGCCATGAAATATAGAAAAGGAGATTAAAAGTTTATTGTAAGCTTATGTGCAGGATTGTGTAAAAATCTGTGGCCTGACAGTGCTGCTTATGTGGAGAAGTGAGGCATTGTTTCTGAGACTGTGCTCTGCAGTGTAGCAGCTTTCTTTCATAGTAGTTAGGAGTCATGTAATTATAGCTATTTTATAGATTGCAAAACTGTACTTCACCTTCCTGCGGTTTATGTAGCCTGTGAGAGGCATAGAACCATAGTCTCATCGTCACTCTGACTTGTAACATTATATAAAGAAAATGTATTACTATTGCCTTTTAAGTCAGAGGCTATATTTTGGAGGCAGTTGAAACCTTTGGAATCAAAGGAGCTACCATAGAAAAGCAGGCCTGACAAGGGATGGGGTGGATGAACAGTGAGGTCATAACAAGGCTATGAGGAAGGTCAAGATGAGGCTGTTTGTGAAAAGAGAATTTAACAATTAATTTTGAACTTTTTGTTCTCTCTTACAGGAAGCAGTTGGCTATCCTGGCTGACCTAGTGAAAGATTTACCACTGGAGTTTGACTTCCTCTTTTCACGGTCTCAGGCAGAAGTGATCTCTGGGAAGCAAGAAGGTATTGGGCCTTGAGGGGCACGCTGGTTCACCTCCCAGCCAACCTTGACCTAGTCTCTCTAACGGGTGTTTAGGATTATTTTATATATCTGATTTTTATTTTTCTGACAAAACTTTTCTTGATTATGCTATCTAGTTTATTTGCATACTATGCATTGGTATTTGCTTTAGAATGCTGCCCTCTAGAAGTCATAAATTTATATCGTTTTTAACTTTGTGCTAAGGACTACGTTTATAAGAATGTATTAGTATTTAATGGTGATTCCAAATGGATCTTTGGTTACCTATTAGTAGTTTTGAAAACATACATACACCTAAGGGTTGTACTAAGTTTGCCAAATTCGAATGTAAAGCAAATTATGAGTTTAAAAGTAAGGGGAAACTTTAATCTCAGGCACTGATCAAGATGAGTTACTTTTTTGTTAAGGGCTCTCCCTTTTTTACACCTATAATGCAGTATAGATGCTTCCTAAAAACCCACACTATTGGCTTTGTAGTTTTGAGGTGGAGTTGAATGTGTGTTCTCACTGTGGCCTATATGATGAATTATATTTCATTTCTTGAAAAAGACTTCTAGTTGCCATCTACATAAGGGAAAAGATTTACCGTTTTCAATTTCAACATTGCGTTTTTCAGCCCTAAAATTTTCATTTGGCTCTTTTTCTGTTTCTTTGTTGAGACATTCTGCCTTTCCATTCATTATAAGACTGATTTTATTTCTTTGTTATGTAGCTGTTTTAATATCTTTGTCTGATAATTCTAACGTCTCTGTCATATCAGGGTTGGCATCTTTTGACCATCTTTTCCCTTATGAGTTGAGATTTTCCTAGTTCTTTGTATGCCAAGTAATTTTATATTATATCCTGGGCATTTTGAATATTACATTATGAGACTCTGGGTCTTGTTTCACTCGTAAGAAGAATATTGATGTTTGTTTGAGCAGATAGTTTACCTAGCTTGGTTCTGGCCTCAAGGTCTGACCTGCCTTCTGTGGGCTGTGATTCTATTGGTTCATTTTCAAAGCCATGGCACTGTTATTGAAGTCCCATGCGTGTGCCAGGCGTTGGCCAATACGGAACCTGGGCTTAGCCCATACAAATTGGTTGTCTAGCCCCTACCTCAGTTCTCAACACCTTTGATATATTGTTTAGAGTCAGATCCATGCATGTGTAGCTTGGAGGTGAGCCCAGGAGTTCACCACTTTATTTCTTCTCTCCACGATCTCCCCAACACTTTCCATTTCCCCAGGGCTCACTGTCATGGTCCTCCGGTTAGAAAGCTAGAGTTTTAATTTGTCCGCTCTGCCATGCATTCCCATGATGTGTCTGCATCCAGGGCCAAGTGGTGGAGGACAGAGGGGAAGAAATAAGCAATAGGGATTTGTTGCAACTCTTAAGGCTGCAGTTCCTTTGATCAAAAAGGACTCACATCCCTCGGAGTTTTAGGAACCTGCCCAACAGTCACCTCTGCTGCCGAAGGATTGCCCGGTGGGAGAGAACAAAATTAAGGAAAAAAAGCAAGGGATTTTCCCCACTCTCCCTAAACCTTTGGAGTCCCCTCTCCTGCTCCTCAGAACAGAAAGCAAGGACTTAAAGTTCTTTCTGTCCACACTGGCGTGTACTTTGTGTTTCAGTCAAGCTGCCTGTGAGTCCAGGCCAGGCAATGTAAGAGAAAAAGATGGGACGCTCATGACTGGTGTGGTGCTTTTTTAAATTCTGATCTCTGTCCCAGTGTGTCTGCTGGCATTTCTTTCAGACTTCTCAGAAAGCTGCCCCCGACATGCTCTCCAGAGTTTATATTGTATTCAGTGGGGAGGTTGGTGGAATGTGCTTACTCCATCTTGTCCAGAACCAGAACTCCAAGATTTACTTTGTGTAATGTTTGTTTCTACACAATAATTCCTATTCATTGTAGGAAATTGAGAAAATGCAAATAGTTTTAAAAGGAAAAGCATCACAAGATAAAAGATTTTACATTAATACATTGAGAGTGTAGAGTAAAATACTATTAGCACTTTTTCCCCAAGAAAAGGAGAATAGAGCAGCCCTGCGAGAGAGGTGCATGCATGCTGTAGCAGTCGAGAACTAAGCGAGGGCTTTTCTCTTTCTCTCCTAGGGGTTTATGCATGGATTGGAATCAACTTTGTTTTGGGAAGATTCGACCATGTGGATGGTGAGTAATGTTTTCTTATGAAGTTCTTTAAGTAGGGCTGAAGGTTTAAATCATACCCTACCAGTAAGCATATAAGCACTAATGTTGGGTTGTTTTTCTTTTTTTAAAACTTAAATTGCAAAAAAAAATACATATAAAAAAACCCAAAAAACTTAAATTGCTTCATTGTCCAGCCTAATTTGCTTTCTTTTATTTCTTTTAACTCTTTAATATGGCAAGTTTCAAACTATCACAAAAGTAGAGTAAATAATGAAATGAACCTCTATGAATCTGTTACCCAGACTCAGCACTTACTAACATTTTGCCATTTTTGTCCCCACACTCCCTCCATACAACACAAGTTTTTTTTCCTATTGGATTTTTGTAGAACAATAAACACCTTAATTACATGAGTTAAGATGGGAGGAGGATATATTTGCCCTTGTGGGCCTCATCTGAGTAGGGCTTTTATTGATTTGAGAGAGGAAAGGAGGGAGGGAGGGAGGGAGGAAGGGAGAGAGAGAGAGAGAAACATGATTAGCTACCTGTCATATGCGCCCCAACTGTTCCCTGTTTATTTTAGAATCAGATGCTGAAGCCCCGCAGGAATTGGCAGCAGGACGCAGAAGGACAGTAGGAATACTGGATATGGGAGGAGCCTCTCTCCAAATTGCTTATGAAGTTCCTACCTCAACCTCAGTCCTTCCTCCAAAACAGGTATTTTACCTTTTAGGGAAAGTCACTGGGAATGTCAGTATTTAAAAAAGAAGAGCACTGTCTTTGGATTTAGACCAACTTGCCTGGGTACAAATATTTGTTCAGAGACTTGCGAGCTTGTGTTCTTTCTCTGAGCCTTAGTTTCCTAATATATAGGAAGGGAACAACAGTAGTATCTACTTCATAAAGTTGTGAGGATGAAATACATCCATGAGTGTAAAGCACTAAGCAGACTGGCAACCATATAATAAATGTTTAATACATTTTAGCAATTATAAGTATACTGCCTGTCTCCTAAAGTTGCCTTAGAGTTAATCATGATAATGCATATACATCCCAGAGCACACTGTTCGGTACATACTTGTTCATTAAATTTATTCCCTTGTTCATTAAATGATTACCAAATGATCATTTATTACCAATGATTTCATTCTTATATTTCTTACCTGACTAGAATGTAAAGAATGTACTTTGAGCCCTGGCCAATGTGGGTCAGTGGTTGAGCGTTGTCCCATGCACCAAGAGGTCACTGGTTGATTCCCAGTCAGGGCACATGCCTGGGTTGTGGACTTGATCCCCAGTAGGGGGCATGCAGGAGGCAGCTGATCAATGATTCTCTTCATTAATGTTTCTTTCTCTCTTTTGCTCTCTCTTCCTCTCTGAAATCAATGAAAATATAAAAATAAAATAAAAATAAATCTTAATCTTAAATGCCTAATGTATTTTTTATACAATTCACAAAATTGTGCACATTCACAAAATTATGCAACCAAATGAAACTTCATATTCATTATTAGTCATAAATAGATAGATAGAGCACCTTTTCAATGGAGGTACAATAAAATTGAACTTTCCCAATTCCAATGTCACAGGGAACATTAGGACTTCTTGAATCGTTTCAGAAAAGGCCATAGAATACATCTCATGATGATTTCTCAAATTCCTTAAATTTATTTTTTCCAAAGGATTTTTTTCTAATTATGAAAACACTACATTCCCATTTTAGAGAACTGGAAAATGAGAAAAGTACATGCAAGATAATGACATCTGTAGTATTTCTACCTTCTATATAACTACAAATTGTGTTTTAGTCTCTAACTTGGTATTTAGCCTCCCTGATTTGTTCTTTTTTATACAGTCTTGTCACTTTATGTTTTTGTTTAAAATAATGCTATGAGGATGAAAGAATGTTACAGATATTTTAAATAGTCATATCAAATGAAGCCTGATGTATAGCAATGTCATAGCTTTCTAGAAATCAACCTAAACTAAAATTCCCTTTTCCCCTTTTCATTGTATTACAGGAAGAGGCTGCGAAGATCCTGCTGGCTGAATTCAACCTGGGCTGTGATGTGCATCACACTGAACATGTGTATAGGGTTTACGTCACCACCTTTTTGGGTTTTGGGGGCAACTTTGCCCGACAGCGCTATGAAGACCTTGTGCTGAATGAAACGCTTAACAAAAACAGGTACGTTTGACCTGGGGTCTGTGCTTCCGAAATAGAATGTTGTCAGATTGCAGATATTAGAAATGTTCATATCCTACTAAGATACGTCCTTGCTTTCTTCTTCCTGACCAGCCCTGCCAATGGGGTAGCATCTCGTAGAGACCCTCCGGTAGTTGATCTGGTAGTTGAGACCCTCTGGTAGATGATCTGGGTGAGAGTGCATTCTGATCTTTGTTACATAACAGGATCCATAAAAAAGTACAGCAGCTTATTGTGGTGACCTCTTGCTGTGTCTCACTTCAGACCTCATGGGATTGAGATTAAGTTGTTAATTTTAAATGTGCAGTATAATATAGATTCTAGCAGTTCCTTCTACATGGAAATGCTCAAGACATGCTTGTTGAATTACAGTGTAGTTGCATGTTTTGTGGGAGTTAGGTTCTGTAGTGTGCTTAAAAGATAAAAAGCATGTGTAGTCAAAATTAACCTTTAAGTTATTCTCTTGTTATTTCCAGAATGACAGTTTTCCTTCAGCCTGGACCAGATCACTGATTTTTTAAAATTTTATTTAAGTACCAGATAAAGTAGTTAGGCCATAATGTACAAACAATTGTGGGTTTCTTTAGCATTAAAAATTATTTTATAGTCCTAGCCGGTTTGGCTCAGTGGATAGAGCATCAATCTGCAGACCAAAGGTTGCAGGCTCTTCCCTGGCCCCGGCCTTGGCAGGGCTCATCCAGGAGGCAACCAATCAATGTGTTTCTCTCACATCGATGTTTCTGTCTTTCCCTCTCTCTTCCACTCTCTAAAAATCAATGGAAAAATATCCTCAGGTGAGGATTAACAACAACAAAAATAATAAATAAATAAATAAAACATTTAAAATTATTTTATCATTCTGCACAATGAAGGAAAGCATAAATGGCAGTTCTTTTCACCATACAATTATTTACCCCCATTTGTTTAGCTAGAAACACTACTTTGAAAAGGTATTGATATATCCCATTTGTAGAAGTACTGGTATATGTTAGTTTTCTACAGCTCTAAATTATGTTGGGAGCATGTTAAAAAATATTGTCTCATAAATCTTTAAAGTTTTTGTAAGAGTTCAAGAAGTTTTGGGAGAATCCTGTTATCCTGGATACTTGATAAATGCATTGAAATCAAGCAGTGTGTTTGTATTCTGAAAATACTCTTAAATCCATACAAATGTTACTTGGGTTATGGAGCTCAGTTCACTCCTGCTGGCACTATGACATCTGAACAATTATTATGAAAGTTTCACACCAATTTTGTTTTGTTCCTTCTTCGTTAGTCACTGTGCTTCCTTTACCATTTTCTTCCTTTGTTGTTCTGCTGCTCTTTTTTTCTGCGTCTGCTGTTTTCTACCTCAGACTTTGCCAGGCTGCATCGTCTTCCCACACATTGGCATTTTCTTGCCATGTATCTAAGTCATCTGGTAATTCACATAAGTGATTATTCACCTTGTGTGGTTGCTAATCTATCAGAGAAACCTGTGCTTCCTGAGATGTCAAAACTTCCTGGTTCTATCTTCTTAAAACAATTTTCTAAGTTTTCCTTATAGTTAGTGTCACATCCCTAAAATGGGTTCCAGTTGCCCAAGCATTTTGTTGTGTTGCCACATTCCCATTCTCTTTTTCAGTCTTTATCCTTGTGTGTGCATCCTCATCTCAGGAAGTCCACTCTTCATGTCTGTCTGCTTAGGAACTGATGCATAGTTAACCACAGTTGGCAGTTACTTGGTCTGCACTTAATTTTCATCCCTGCCCAGATCTACATTTTTTTAAAAAATGTTTTTGTTGATTTCAGAGGAGGAGGGAGAGGGAGAGAGAGAGAAACATCAATGATGAAAGAGAATCACTGATCAGCTGCCTCTACTGGCACGCCCTCTACTGGGGCAGGAGCCCACAACCCAGGCATGTGCCCTGACCTGGAATCGAACTGTGACTTCGTGGTTCATAGGTCAATGCTCAACCACTGATCCAGGCAAGATCTGCATATTAATCTCCTCAGGAATGAGAATACTGTCGCTCTTGGCAAGTATAGACTTTAACCAGAACTGTGTGATAGCCCTTCCCTACCCAGTCACAGCCAGGCATGTGTACCTCACTATTGCCAGCCATTTTAAAAAAAATTCTCACCTGAAGATATGTTTTTCATTGATTTTAGAGAGAGGAAGGGAGAGAGAAACATTGATGCAAGAGAAACATCAATTGGTTGCCTCCTGTATATGTCCCGTCAGTGTATGGGACGATGCTCCAACCAACTGAGGCACACCGGCCAGGGCACTATTGCTAGCCTTTGACACTGCACCACTCCAGGTCCTCTCCTGAGGAAACTCCCCAGTCCCTCCCACTTCCCCTCCTTCCAGTAGTTCTTTTAAACATTAGAACCACACTAGGCATGGTGAGGTCTTTGCATTTTAAAGAGGCAAGTGGGAATGAAGACTGGATGGAGAATAGCAGATTCACATCTCCAGTTTTACTTTACACTGGGAAATATACATGTTGACTAAAAGGTTGAACAAAATTGATCACTGCCATATTTCTCTATTTTTCCTTTTTGCTTTTTTTGCTAAATTGAATTTGCTTAAATATTCATGTGACTCAACTACATGGTAATACTCTATCCTCATTTCTGGGGAGGTCGTGCAAAAGAGCAACTAGGTATCCATGAAGCACATTCTTAAGCCAGGTTTCTTCAACTAGGCGTTTCTTAGAGTAGATTGAGTACAGTAGTGATGATGTGTTTTGTTGTTGTCACTGCAATAGGTTGTTGGGCCAGAAGACAGGTCTGAGTCCTGACAGTCCATTTCTGGATCCTTGCCTGCCCGTGGGACTCACAGATGTGGTGGAGAGGAACAGCCAGGTCCTGCATGTCCGAGGAAAAGGAGACTGGTCGACTTGTGGGGCAATGCTGAGCCCCCTGCTGGCTCTCTCTAACACCAGCCAGGCCTCCCTGAATGGCATCTACCAGTCACCAATTGACTTCAACAACAGCGAGTTCTACGGTTTCTCTGAGTTTTTTTACTGCACGGAGGATGTGTTGCGCATCGGTGGCCGCTACCATGGGCCAACATTTGCCAAGGCTGCTCAGGTAAATTATTAATAAGAAAGATGACTCAGGCCACCAGTGGCTATTTATTGGATGCCTAATTTTGCTCCAGGTGCTATGCAAAGAGCTTTGCATGCATGGTTTCACTTGACTCTTTACAGGAACCCTATGAACTCTGATTTTACAGGTGAGGAAGTATAGTATTTAGGGGAATTAAGGAATTTGCTATGCTATTCTACCTTCAATTAGTTAAGCTTAGCTTCCCAGTGTCCTCTCAGCCAAAGTATCCCCAGCTCCAAAATTGTTGTGGCAGCTAATAGTTTTCCTCTAACTCACCAATAGTCTTGTTTAATGTTTGTGGCCAAGTAGTGTCATCTTTAGATATTTTTCCCTACTGGGTGTTTCCAGTTGTAATGTGCTTTTGGAGATGATGTCACACAAGTGGACAAGTCCATTTTCACTTTCTTGGTTTGAGCTATTAAAAAGTTGAAGTGGTGTACGGTCACTGAGAATATTAGAAAGATGTGAAAATGTGCAATGATGGGGGAAGTATTCTTTAAACTTAAATTCACTTTGAACATATATAAGACTCAAACATCCTATAGGCTTAAATCATTAGTTACCTGGACAGGTGAAAGTTCAACTAGCTTTCTGTAGTTCCTGCTTTAATTTAGATTCATCACTTTGAATTTTTGTGTAGAGTTCTCTGATCTCTCTCTTATCAGAGAAATTTATGGGAAGAAGCTGTTCTCTCTTATATTTTTTATCTTTTCCTTCCTGCTTTCTTATAATTCTCTAGGGTTCTCTTGGTGGAAGACGTCCAATGGAAGAATATGTGTACTATTCTGTTCCCTAAAGGCAGTCCTTAAGAAATATTGAGGAAAACCTGGTTCGTGTTTGCTTTGTCCTCTCCAGTCTCCAGGATTACCCTCATATTTCCTTTTCTTTCCCAGCGTCCAAGGGCTCCCTAACTGTCCATGGCCTGAATCTTTCTCTCATTTTAAAACTTAAAATTTTTTCCCCTTGACCACTGCTTGCCCAAGTTGGTAGTGGCTTAATATGTTCTCTTTCCCAGGTAAAAGAGATGATTTTATTTTTATTCCCTTATTCTTTTTCACTTTGACTCTTATTTTATCTTCCCGATGATACCTTCCCTGGCCACCACAGCCAAAATTGCAGGCCTCCCCAATATTACCTATTACCTTTTCCTGATTTATTTTTCCTGTGAGCATTTATGTCATTTAACACATTCTGTACGTGTACATGTGTACGTATGTATGTATATTTAGTTACTAGAGGCCCAGTGCATGAAATTCTTGCATGGGAGGCGGTGAGGGGGGCCCCTCAGCTTGGCTTGCACTCTCTCACAATCCAGGACCCCTCAGGGGATGTCTGACTCCCAGTTTAGGCCCGATCCTGCATTAGGCCTAAACTGGCAGTCGGACAATCCCTCTCGCAATCCGGGACTGCTGGCTCCTAACTGCTCTCCTGCCTGCCTGCCTGATTGCCCCTAACCACTCTGCCTGCCTGCCTTATTGCCTCTAACCCCTCTCCCTGCCTGCCTCATCATCCCTAACTGCTCGCCTGCCTGCCTCATCGCCCCTGTTTCTGCCTCTGCCCCACTGCTGGGGCTTCATCTGGAATGATGTCCGGAAGGTTGTTCGGCTATCTGGTCTAATTAGCATATTAAGCTTTTATTATTATAGATTGTCTCCCATCACTAGAATGTAAGCTTCTGAGAAATGAAGAAATTCAACAGAAATTTTTGTCTGTTGTATTTACTGCAGATCCCCTGGCACCTGGAATAGCACCTGGCACATAGTGAACATTCAGGAAATGTTAGTTTACAAACAAAGCAAAAGGAATGATTCCTTTGGTGAGAATTATCACATGGAGGCAGTGCTAGGTGTTTGACGATTCTGTTCCATCTGCTCTTCCTGCTCGTGTCAGTCCTTTGTAGAGTAAAATGACGCTCTCTTCGAGTTCTGATGTTGATATTTCTGGTCCTAACCTTACCCCTCTCTGAGGCCTACGAGGCTTAGGAGTCATCTCAGGCTGGCTTTGTACTGGACTTGGAGGTGCTAGGAATAAAAAGGAGTATTTCTAGCCCAAGTCCTGGGACTTGTGTTGCACAGAACCTGGCACAGTGTTCAGTGAATGAATATGCCATTTATGATTTCCTTTGTCAACTAGTAGCCCACAAGCCACTTTAGAAATGGAACAGCTGTGACTGTGGGGGAAGTTTATAGAGTTTGCCTCCAATTTCATGTTGCATAATTTCTCTGTGGTCATTCCAGGACTACTGTGGCATGGCTTGGTCAGTACTAACTCAGAGATTCAAGAATGGCCTTTATTCATCACATGCAGATGAGCATCGACTCAAGTAAGTAATTTCCTTTTCCCCCTTACATGTGGCCTTAAAATGTAGATAAAGTGTAATGAAGGAGAGCAAGTGAGCAATACTAGATTGGATTTTATGTTGAAGGAGAATTTGAATATATCAGATTTTGATTTTCTGAGTGATAGGGGCCGAATAATGAGCCTATTTTAGCAAGGCCAAGGGAAACCAGTGGTTACCAGAGTTCACACCAAGTGGTTTGAAATAAAAACTGATGGCCTTTTTTAAAAAAAAAAAACTTTATTAAAATACAAAATATGCAGAAAAGTAGACATAACTAACGTAAACCCTCATGTAACTATCACCCAGTTTCAGCAAATGTCAGTTTGGTTCAGTGGTCCTCTCATTTTGTAAATATTTTAGTTTAAAATTTTAAACTCATGAACAAAAATAGTACAATGAAATTCTGTGTACCTCTCTATCACCCAGCTTCTCTACTGGCCAATCTTGTCTCATCTATTTTCCCACCCACAACTCCCTTCTTGTCATAATTGGGTTATTTTGAAGCAAATCCCAAACTTCATAATTACATATGTAGATATTTCAGCATGTTGTCTGAAGATAAGAACTCTTAAAAAAAAAAAAAAAGAAAGAAAAACATAGCCATATTATTATTACTGCAGAAAGGTGTTCTTCACATTTGTGGTAAATGTTAAGTTAAAGTAGACTCAAATTTGGCTCCACCTAGTGGTGAGGAAGGTGAAGCTGGGAGAGAGATTTTTGCATCCCGTGGGAGTATGCAAAGGAAAGCATTAGAATTGTTTTACTTCTAATGTAAAATTTTATTGATGAGTTATTTTTGTCACACAGATATCAGTGTTTTAAATCGGCTTGGATGTACCAAGTCCTTCATGAAGGATTCCACTTTCCCTATGACTACCCAAACCTACGGACAGCCCAGCTGGTATATGACCGGGAGGTTCAGTGGACGCTGGGAGCCATTCTGTATAAAACACGATTCCTACCACTCAGGTATGGTGGACTAACAAAGCTGGCATCTTGAGCTCAGAATAGGTTTCTTAAGCGACACGTCCCACAAACAAACAAACAAACAAACAAGCAAACTCGCTTTATTCCTACCAGGTGGACTGCTCTTACTATGTTGAAACAGAAAGAAGGTTGAGCATTATGGGTCTGGAGTCCGTTCCTCAGCTTTGCACTTTCAGAAATTCAGTTTTATTTGTTGATCCACCACAAATCAAACTTTAGGGTTGAGCTCTCACTAACCACTTCCAAGACACTGAGAAATTAAAATGGCATTCTTAAATTACCCTGGAAAACACATCTGGCCATAAAACTGGGGTAGGCTGTCTGTCCAGAGCCATCTCTCCCAATGACCAATGCCAGGCTAGAGATGGTGCCACTGCCTCGAAGGCTTTCGGTGGGCCCGAATTCCAGCAGAAGGTGTGAGATGTTCCGAGGGGGGAAATTTTCATCACACGATCATGGCCTTATGTCTTGCTGTTGTAAACCAGAAGGTATTTGGGATAATCTTTAGGTACTCTCTCCCTGGATTATTTCAAAACTAAAATGAATTCTTATTTTTTGATGCCTGTTTCACTAAACTCAATACTGTCAAAAGCCTTGCAGGTGATAGAAGTCAGAGAAGTGGGGAGCTAGAGAGTGTGTGCCCTCCGCGAAGGGCTGGCCCCTGTCATGCAGAAGTGATGGCCCAGCATTTGCCACTTCTCATTTGTCAAGAGAAGCCAGAAGTCCAGATTTTATATGCAGTCTTTCAGTTTTGAGAGTCACATTTAAAAACAGTAACACTGCAGTTCAAACAAAACAAAAACCGATCTTTTATCTGGACCACCAGAGAAGGGCTTCTGTTCCAGACAGGCAGGCAGACCACTGCACTTAGCTTTCCATGTCTCTAATGTTTGTCCAGATTATAATAGAATTGATCAGACGACAGCTTTCTTTAGCCATAACCTAAATTTTTAGAAAGCATAGTAACTTTTAAAAAAGATTTAGACATACTCTGATTTCATATACAGTAGGTCCTCGGGTTACGTCAGAGATTCGTTCCTACGGCATGACGTAATGCGATTTTCGCAGTAAGTTGGAACCCACCTACATAAACACCTATGTCACTCACATGGAGCACATACACAGCAGTAATGAAGTGAAACAGTAAAAAAAAATTTAAACTCCTGACCTTTACTTGTGGTAAATAAATAATAAAAAACATAAAGCACATATGTACATACGTCCAAATGATGGAACTTTTTTTTTATAAATAAATGGGAGATGGCAACGTAACCATTAAATGAGTATGTCGAGTCCGATGTAACCCGAGGACTGCCTGTATATATATGTGTGTGTGTGTGTGTGTGTGTGTGTGTAATTTTTTTTATTTCAGAGAGGAAGGGAGAGGGGGAGAAAGAGAGAGAGAAACATAAATGATGAGAGAGAATCATTGATTGGTTGCCTCCATGCCCCACACTGGGGATCGAGCCACAACCCAGGCATTTGCCTTTGACCGGAATTGAACCCGGGACACTTTGGTCCACAGGCCGACACTCTATTCACTGAGCCAAACTGGCTAGGGCTGATTTCTTGATTGGATTCAGGGACCACCCTCTTCTTGTTAGTACTACATTTACAAACTGTTAGGTCAGAGTGTTAAGGGGCCGCGGTTAAGACTAATGTTATAAATGACCAGTCTTGCCCTACTGTTCACTTTTTTGCCTTCTGATTTTGTCCCCAGATTCTGGAAGATTTAGGCCTGTGTGGCGTCCTCTTTAGGCTTGGAAAGGAAGGTATAGAAAGAATCACACAGCAGCCCTGGGGTTGGGGGCATGATTCAGCTTTGCTTGCTCAATGGAGCTGGTATCCTAGAATGTTTGCGTGGATGGAATAAATGGGCTAACATCACTGGGCCTTTTACATCAGCATAAAGGTTTCTCTCTGAAACTAACATTTCTTTTCACCTTCAAACTGTTCCCTAGGGATCTACGGCAGGAAGGTGTCCGACAGGCCCATAGTAGCTGGTTCCGCCTCTCCTTTGTCTACAACCACTATCTCTTCTTCGCCTGTATCCTGGTGGTGCTATTGGCCATCATCCTGTACCTTCTGCGGCTACGCCGAATTCACCACCGACAGACTCGAGCCTCAGCTCCATTGAACTTGCTGTGGATTGAAGAGGTGGTGCCCATGATTGGGGTACAGGTGGGGCCTTGAGGCCGAGTAAGGACTGTGGAAGCTCAAGTACTCCAGAGTTGCTGCTCATTGAATTCCACCACTTTCTTGTAATGGCTTCGGATGCTGTTTTGCCTGACCTGGTGGATATTTTGGCATTGGAATTTCCACTTTAATATCTTCTTTAATTCCTCTCAATCTCCAGGTCCTCTTATCTGAGAAGCTGTAACTTAGTCTGTGAAGAACTAAGTAATGAGAGATTGGTGCTAACAAAGGTGACCAGCCTTAGTCCAATTGAAGCACGCTTCTCCTTTATCTGAGAGATCTGGTGTGTTCCAGGGATCTAGACTTTTCTCCCCCTGCTAAAGCATGAAGTTTGGCATTGGGCACCCTGGAAGCTGAGGTGAAACCAGACTTGGAGCGTCTGACACAAACCGAAGACATTCTAGCAAGTGCAGCAGCCCCTTCTTTCTCTGTAACAGAGAGATCATTTATGTGGAGGTCCACAACCCTTAATAGGGGTCCAAGATAATTTGCAGTTCAGTGGAACAGATATGAATTTCCAGGCAACCAAAATAACACAACGTCTTTGTTTCTTTGACAAAGAAGCCATTGAGTGTGGACCAAGGTCCCTGACAGTGTTGCTGATGTTAGTTTGTGATTTTAAAAGGTTAGAACCCCTTCTAAATGAATGGATCATCAAAGATTTTGACTAAGTCTTATCTGATGTCTTGTATGACCAGGACAGAAAAATTTTCCATGTCTATGTGCCTCAGAGGCTGTTTGGGCATTAATTTTTCTTTTTGAGTCTTAAATATGCTTGTAGGATGGAGAAACTGTGATGGGTATTGGAGACCTGGGTTTGGTTTCAGGTCACTGTCCTATAGGCCTATTTTAAAAAAAATTATTATTTTTTTTACTGATTTTATTGGGCTGACATTAGTTAATAAAATTATTTAGGTTTCAGGTGTACAATTCTGTAATACATCAGCTGTATATTATATGGTGTGTTCACCACCCCAAGTCTCCAGGCCTATTTTTATGAGTCCGTATACAGGAAGATTCAAAAGAGTTCCTTTATTTCACTGCTAAGATCAATAAAAGCAATAGTTTGGGAAGGGATATATTTGGGTTGTTTTTATAGAAGGAAAGAACAATATCAGGATAGTGGGCAAAGGCAATAAAATCGAAGTTCTTATTTATTCATATTTTTCTGAGAAATCGAAATTTTCTCAATTTGACTCTGGGTTTGTCTGAAAAGAAGCAAATTCTAAACTTTGGAATAAATAGATAAATCTGTTATTAAGCCACATGGAAACTTTCAGAACCTTTGTTAAAAGATTGCTCAGTCACAAACAGCATTTCCATTAATGAGGAGAGAGGAAAAGCCATAATTATTGCATTTTCATCCGTGACCCTCCAGGAGCTTTGCTCCTCCTGGCCTTTACGTTGCAGGAGGATTCATTCATGAGCTTCCACCTTCTCTCATGGTACTTTCTTTATACTTTATCCTTTCCTATATGTAGCCTTGAATGTCCTGCCCAAGAATGTGCTCCCAGAGTTGAAGTAGCTTTCTTTTTTTTTGTCATCTTGATTTCTAAAATTAGATAACTAGGGGAAATGGACCTTGACTTTCAAGGGAAAAAAGTGAAAACGATTTTTTATTTTTTTCTCCCTTTAATTCTCACCCAAGGATATACTTTTATCGATTCTTAGAACAGGAGAGAAACATCAATGTGAGAGACATTGATCAGCTGCCTTCTGCATGGACAATTCTAGCTATTTAGGTATGTGCTCTGACTGGGAATCGAACATGCACCTCACCCTCACCCCCAGTGCACAGACAATACTCCAAGCAACTGAGCCACCTGGCCAGGGCAGAAGTGAAATTCTTAAAATGTAAATTTCATACTGGAAGCAGAAGGGAATTAAATGCTTCATAAAACAGAGAAAAATCAAGGTAAAAAAATGACAAGTCTTGAACGGTTTTCAAATTAGATAATAATGGATCTGGCCAAGTATCTTATAGTTTCCTTTGGAAATATATTTTTAGGACTTATATCACAGTAATTTCTAAGACTTCTAAATTACCTTGATTTTCTTTGACTTATCTTTCTGTCACTGTAAGCCCTCGCCTTATGAATGCTGCTTATAAATAATGTCAAAATGTTTTTCTTAGCCCTTGCCTACTCAGGTAACTCTTTTCCTCTCACCTTGGTTTCCAAATACTATTTGCATTTTTCTTGTAGATCTAGTCAGTGATCTAGTCAAAAGCTACCTAATAGGCTAACGGTGATCCCTTTTGTGTCTCAAAATGAAGTTGAAGCAGGGAGGAGGTGGTGATTAGTCCAGATTGAAAGCTCTTATGAAGTTATTCTTCCTGGTTATAATAATAATAGCTACCATTTGTTAAGTCCTTAATGCAGCCGTGGGCAAACTACGGCCCCGGGGGGCCGGATCCGGCCCGTTTGAAATGAATAAAACTAAAAAAAAAAAGACCGTACCCTTTTATGTAATGATGTTTACTTTGAATTTATATTAGTTTACACAAACACTCCATCCATGCTTTTGTTCCAGCCCTCTGGTCCAGTTTAAGAACCCATTGTGGCCCTTGAGTCAAAAAGTTTGCCCACCCCTGCCTTAATGTGTACCAGACATTCTGTTCAGATTTTTATATATATTATTCAATCATATGGCATTCTTTCAGATTGATATTACTGTGTTTTTTTTTTACAGTTCAGAAACTCAGGATACTTATGTTTATAATTCTTTGACTGTAAATGTATTTCATATTCTTAATTTATTTTAATTAGTCTGCTATCTCCTGTATATTATTTTAATATTATAATCTTGGCCTGTCTTTATTGCCGTGAGTAAAACGTGTCAGAGTTTCATAGTATAAAATGAAGGACACATTTTTATCACGCCCTTCAGAAAAACTGAATAGATGCTCTTAGTACTGGTTCCTGTACTTCTCCCATTGCTCCCAATTAATGATCTTAAATTACATTTCATTCGCTAGAAACAGGAGCCATTTATTTCTTGCAGAGGGGCAACTATATATATTGCTTTCTTTTCATGAAATATTTTTGCTTATTGAGTCAGACTGTCTTGCTTTTTAGCTGTTTCTCAAGATTTTTAAAAGGTTTCTTTTTGCATTTTTGCCTTTTGAGTAGTTCTGTGAATATAATTATGGTTTCATAAAATTCACATTCCAGTAGTTCCTTTGAATCCTACAAACTAGTGTTTCCGATAATAGCAACAATGAGCCTGAACTGTTTTAGTACTTTTATTGTCACTGAGACAGGTCACAAATGTCAGAACCAGAGTCGGTGGCTTAAAGGGGTGATGTTTTATGGCACAACCCATCACTCTCCTCTGAGTTCTTATCACTACAGCATAAGGAAAATATGAGTAACATCCAATTATATGGCATTATATTCACTTAAGTTGCAGTTAATTCTAAGGGAAATTATACCATCTTTCTCTTTGTACCTTAGTTCCTTGAATTGATTTTCCTTGGTCAAGGAAATTTTAATCAGTTTCCACTATTTTTATTTATTCTTCTGATGTCATCCAAAATATTTTGACTGTTCCCTCCTCAGTCTAAGAGCTTCCTAAATAGAAGCTCCTCCCCACCCCACCCCCCACCCCTAGCCCTATTCTTACAGTTTTGTGTTTTGCTTTTTGTCAGGAGTGAAAAACAGGTGGGTGGTATGATTTTGGGGAAAGAACATCAGACTTCATGAACAGCAGACTTGGATTCTAGTCCTGGCTTTGTCATTAACTAGCTCTGTTACTCCAGGCAAGTCACTTGCCCTCTCTGGTTCATTTCTCATCTGTAAAACAGGGTGGCTAGACAAGATGATCTGAGGTTAGTTCCAAAGGGAGAACCATAAGACATTAAACGCAGGTGAGAAGGTAGAAAAGTAATATGGTTTCAGGAAGAGGATTTTGGTCTTTGGTTTTGAAGACTAAAAGAGCCAGTGGTCATCTACTTTATCCATTCCCCCTGACATTCCCTGGTGCGAATGGAGTATCCAACAGCTATCATTATACATCCATTTCAGGGCATGAGATTTTAAAAGGGATTTTAGAGGTCTTCTGGTCAACCCCCTTGATTTTATAGATGATGAAATTGAATCCCAGAGCAGTAGTAATATGTGCTATTACTACTATAGCAGTAGTGACAGCTGCCATGAGATGCTCAGAATCTTCTTGCAAGATTGTGTATTTCAATATTCTGTTCTTTATAATAATAGCTGACTGCAACTATTACTATAAACATGCCCCATCTTTGTAACTGCTTCTGATCTTCACTTGTGATCGCTTTGCTCATATTTAGGAATAAAATATGAAATACTTTGCTAGGGACAGTACCAGGTTTTCACTACATCTACTCTAGCTTCTGTATTTAATACTTTAAAATTTTAGATATTTTTTAAACAATTTGCTTAATTTTGTACAATTTTCTTTTTTTTGTTATTCCTCATCTGAGAAGATTTTCCATTGATTTTTAGAGAGTGGAAGGGAGCGGGGGAGAGAGAAACATCAATGTGAGACATCAATTGGTTGCCTCCTACACAAGTCCCAGGGATCAAGACTGCAACCGAGGTACAAGCCCTTGACTGGAATGGAACCCAGGACCCTTCAGTCCACGGGCAGACACCCTATCCACTGAGCCAAACCAGCTAGGGCTTGTGCACTTAAGCATAGCATCCAAGCAAGTCATGTGATGGTTACAATCTAAATTATTTAAGGTATAAATGCCTATTAGATCTACCTCACTAAGGAACTTGGTTGTATTTCTTGGGCAGTTTCCAGATCCCTTACAGAAACAGAGTGCTGTTTCTCTTTGCTATCTTTAAACTTCTTTTCAATAAGGTAGAGGTAGCAGTGGATGTTTCATATTCTCCCAACGTAGTTTCTTAAGTTATGCTAGTGCCAGAGTCCTGCCACTAGGGCCATATGTTCGCCAAACCTGTGAGGATTTTGTTGGTGTTATAAAAAGTATTTGTTAAAAAATAAGGCCTTTTTAAAAAAATATCCTAATAGACTTCCCTTGTATTATTACTCAAGTTTTCCTTTGTTCTAATATTTATTATTTCTCAGTACTTTTATTGGAAGGACAGAGGAGAAATGTATCTGTTGACCATTTTGTTTCTCTGGAGTCTGAGCAATAGAAATCCTTTTATTTGTAAAAATGAATTATTACTCATACTATAAGGGCTTTCTACTTTTAAAATGTATTCAATCATTGCTTGCCATTTTTTTTATTAAGGTATTACATATGTGTCCTTTTTCCCCCATTGCCACCCCCCCCGCCCCCCATTCATGCCCTCACCCCTCTGGTGTCTGTGTCCATTGGTTATGCTTACATGTATGCATACAAGTCCTTTGGTTGATCTCTTCCCCCTTATCCGCACCCTCCCCTACCTTCCCTCTGAGGTTTGAGCAAAGTTGAAAAAATTTCTGAACCACAGAATGTTTGTAGCCAAGCGGGTGATTGAGGCCAGCCTGAAGTCATGTCTGCTCCTGCGCCTCTTCTGTTTTAGTGCAGCTGCTCGGACACCCCCGGTCGCCTGCCACTCCTCCACCACTCCACTCCACCCTCCTAAGCAGCCTCTCTTGCAGAGCACCTGCCAGGGTTTGGCCTGGGAAGACTACTGGTGCTGAAGGCTCTGCCTTTTATTAGCTTCATAAGAGTCTTGCTCTGTAAACAGGATCCCAAATACTTTGATTTCTGTCATTATGTTGTGTTTGAAATTTTTATTCTATAGTTCGTTAGTTAACGCCATGAAGTATAAGCCTTATCTCCTTCATTGTTTCTGCCTTGAGCGATGGACTCTGTAGTGTTGAAAGACATCTTTTTTTTATGATCCACAGCAGACACTCCCTTCTCCCTTTAAAAGACCAAAGGCTGCCTGTATTGCATCAATTTTGGGCGTTACTAAGATTATATGTTTTTCTAATGCTTCACATTAAATAATAATTTTGCTGAACAGTTCTTAAAATACTCGCTGATAAATACTGTTAAATCATTGTTGAGCAAACTGTGCAATGCATATTAGAGGGGAGGCCATTCTCCCTTATGCCGGGACATCGGTATATGTGTTACCTATGCCAATATATACCCACCATTCATTCCAGGACCAGAAGGAAGGATTACTGCAGATAAACTGGTTATCCTAATATTCTGATCATCGGTGTTGGTTTTTGCAACCAACATCACTTTAAAGCAGTAGCTAATTGTTATCCCTGTCATATGGATAGCATTTGTCACTGTTAAGTTAAAGACAGAAATATTCTGGGTTAAGAAAGCAGGTGTTTTAATTCCTTTGATGTTTTAAAAACAACGGACAGAATTGTTGAGGGACCTTTGAAAACATTGTGATAAATTCATTTAATCTTGTAGGTATGTGATGACTTGCTTTGGAAGAGGTGCCCGGGACATCAATCTTTAATTATTTTCCATTCATTTGTGCAATATTTGGTATGTGTCCAATACTGGGAATAATGCAAACCTAAAAATAATTCAGATAATCTCCATTCACCAGGATTGTGGATAGGCATAATAGTTATATAGCTTAATGCAAACAGATCTGTTTTTCCAAACTTATTCATCTTTAATAAAATGAAAATGAAGTAAAGTATCTGAAACTTGAACTTAATTCATTCGTTGCTCCTTTGTTGGAGGGAACTGTAGAAGCGTTAGCATATAGTTCTTTGGATTGGATCATAATGCCCTCTGGTGACTATTATTAACTAAGAACAACTTTAGTGTGGGGATCAGGAGAAATGCTATGGGAACCTACCCCGGTGACTCTAGTTCCCTTTTTAAAATAATTCTGTCTAGAAGAGGTGATATCCCATTAATAGGATCAACATGAAAAATAACATTTAAAAAGGAACCGTTACTGTAATCATACCTAATGACATTCTTGATCCAGTGACTTCCAGAAACAGGCAAAGAATTTTTAAAAACTTGACAGATCTGGAAACCATTTGATATGCCAAGTTCATTCTCTTAGCAAAATCCAAGTTCTTGTGCTCTAATGAGCTCTCAAAAGCAGTTTCAGTCCTACGCAGCTGATCGATCTTTTTAGAATTATTTTGGGACTCTTCGGAGTTCATTCATGAGCCAAAGGGCAACACTGAGCAGAGCCAAGGAGCCCGACTGGTGAGTAGCAGCCAAAGGAGTTGGAACGTACATCAGCAGAGTGCTAATGCCCAAGCCCACCTGTTACAGAGGAAACCAGGCAGTAAGTAAACCAGCACCACAAATTCAGAGCTGAAACGACAGCATTGACAGCCACATACACAAACCGCTCTCTCCTCCCATCAGAGCATTAAAAATATATTTTTAATTTCATAAGTAAGGATATTTACAATGAAGTAAATTCAAACAAAACCAAAAAACCCTGCCCTAACCGGTTTGGCTCAGTGAATAGAGCATCAGCCTGCGGACTCAAGGGTCCCAGGTTCGATTCTGGTCAAGGGTATGTACCTTGGTTGCGGGCACATCCCCAGTGGGGAGTGTGCAGGAGGCAGCTGATCGATGTTTCTCTCTCATCGATGTTTCTAACTCTCTATCCCTCTCCCTTCCTCTCTGTAAAAAAATCAATAAAATATATTTTAAAAAAACCCTAAGATTTCCCTTAATTATCCTTCACCCTATCCCAGTTCCCCTCACCAAAGGTAGTCAGTTACCAGTTTCTACACACTTGTACTTTTATATAAATGTTTTTAAGAAAAAGTTTTGTATTTTCAAAAAATACATTGTTCTGTCTCGTGCTTTATTTCACTTAATATATGTCTTAAGAGCTTACTATTTTAAACTGTTATATAATATCCCACAGTATACATTTACCATAGTTGTCTAACTACTTGGGTTGGTTTCCTATTTTTCACCATTGCAGCAATTCTGTAATGAATTTCCTTATAGATATAGCGCTTTGTGCATTAGAATATCTCTAGGGCAGGCACTAATAAGTCAATTTGCTGGGCCAAGGGATTATATAGTTAACATTTTAAAAGATATTGCCAAACTGCCCTCTGAAAAATACCACATAAACCCGTGCTCTCACAAAGAATATATGAAGGTATCTATTTTCTTATACCTGTGCCAATACCTGATTATCTTTTTCTTTCCCCCCCCAATCTGACAAGCACAAAATGGCAGGCATTGTTTTAATTTGCTCCTCTGTGATCATGAGTGAGACTAAACAGCTTTTTGTATTTATTGGCCATCATTCCTCTTATGAGAATTGGGTATTGATATCCTTATTTTATCTTCTGGTCATTAATCTTCTAGCCCAGTGGTCAGCAAACTGCGGCTCGCGAGTCACATACGGCTCTTTGGCCCCTTGAGTGTGGCTCTTCCTAAGCCTTAGGAGTACCCTAATTAAGTTAATAACAATGTACCTACCTATATAGTTTAAGTTTAAAAAATTTGGCTCTCAAAAGAAATTTCAATCGTTGTACTGTTGATATTTGGCTCTGTTGACTGATGAGTTTGCCGACCACTGTTCTAGTCTATTTTAAGTATTGAAAATATTTTCTCTTAGCCTGTTACCTTTCCTTTTTAACCTTGTTTTGGGGACGCCCTCAGGCCAAAAAGGAGTGGTTTATACCTGTGTATATGCCAAAGCCAGCAGAGTCGCTGCTGCCATCTTGGTCCTGCGAGGAAGGGGAATTCTCCGGGACAGGAAGTAGAGCGCTGTAATGGCAGTAACTGAAGTGATTCCCTGCGAGGGGAAAGGAGTCTCATCAAGCGCCAGCGGGAAGCGCCCCACCCTGATTTCCGCTTACCGTCCATGTATCTCCTCCAGAACCAGTGAGTAACCACCAGGCACCTCCCTGTCCCAGGCAGGGAGCCCCTGCAGTTCCACCTCTGGTTTCTGCTCCTCAGGCTCCTTCCCACCCCTCTTCTGGCCACTTAAACGCAGGTGTGCCCCAGGTGCCACCTAACGTTTCTGCGCCTATCACTTTATACACACTCTCTCTGGGTGATCTTATCCACCTTCCACTGTGTGCCCCCAGGCATGGCCCTCACATTTTAAATCATTCTTTGCACTCTCATCCCTAATTTTACACCTACAGTAATCTTGTATTTTTAAAGCAGGGCTGACCCCAGCCCATGAGGGTTATTATTTTCCTGAGCGGTGAGTAGAGGAGGAGGTGGTTTTGCCACCTGAGTCCTCTGGACTTCTCTGTGTGGATGTATTGTATCCTCTCACACTCAACATACCTCCATCTGTTGACATATCCCATGTCTAGCTCAGCACTCATTCCAATAGCCTTATTTTTGTTGGTCATGTTTTAAGCATGCCCCAAAAGAAACTTTGGAATCTTTCTTTATCTTTCCTCACCTTCCTTTCTACAGCAATCTTCTATTCCTTACAACCTCTCAGTTTCATCATTCTTCTTGAACCCACTCCCACCACGAAGCCTTGAACCCCATCACTCTCTCTCTCACCTGCATTACTGCAATAGCACTGCTGCTTCTCACCGGTCTCCTTGTTGCTCATCTTCAATTTATCATGCCAGAGTACCAGACCAACCTTAACATGACCCATAGCAGGCCCTGAGTAAATACTACTTAAATAAAACAAAAAGTACATATGATGCTCTTGGCTCCTTGGGGGGGGGTTCTGGTTCAGCTCTGACAGCTATGTGAGCAGCATCCACTGTCTTCACACTCTGTTATCTACCCAGCCTTTTATCTGCTAAAATGACTCTCATGTGTGGCAGGATTCAGGGAGGTTATCATTTGCTAGATGGTAAAAAGCAGATTCAAACTTTAAGAAGCTGGCAGTATCCTGAAAGCCAGAAATTGGCTGGGAGGGTGTGTGGGTAATTAGGAGAAAAACAGCACATTAGAAAACTAATTGATACTCAATTTCCTCTTTTTAAAAAAAAGGAAATCTGGTGCCCACTGTATTCTCTCACTGTTGTAATCAGTGCTTCGAACACCCAAAGCCTGTGAGAGGCTCCCTGTGCTTAGTAGCCAGTAACCACCAGCCAGACTTACCAGAATCCGGTGATCAAACTGCACCATAGTAGGGTTCTCAAAAACATTCCTCAGGATGGGAGAGAAGGTGAAAAGGTCTTCTGGGATCCAAGATTCTCCCATCTTGGGGAAGGAGTTGTAAACAAGCCCAGCATCCAGTCCTGCCACAAAAGCCCCTGTATGCCAAGGTCAATGGTATTTATTAAAATGAGAGAAAGAGGAGGCCAAATACTATTCTGACATAGAAAAAGTTTATCTGGAGGAGGTTAATGGGGGGGGGGGGGGGGGGGGGGAAGGGAAAAATGTAATACTTTCAATAATAAAGATTAAAAAAGAAAAAGTTCATTATCCCAGAGTTAGATAAAAGGAAGTGCCTTATATAAGTATTTACAGTAGGGGTTCTCAAACAGGGAATATACATCACAATCACCATGAGAGCTTAAAAGAAAAACAACTATAGTCTCACTTGCTCCCACCCCAAGATTCTGGCATGCCTCCCCTGAAGGAATGAACTAGAAGCTCTAGAGCAGCGGTTCTCAACCTGTGGGTCGCCAACCTGTGGGTCGCAACCCCTTTGGGGGTCGAACGACCCTTTCACAGGGGTCGCCTAAGACCATCGGAAAACACATATATAATTACATATTGTTTTTGTGATTAATCACTATGCTTTAATTATGTTCAATTTGTAACAATGAAAATACATCCTGCATATCAGATATTTACATTACGATTTATAACAGTAGCAAAATTACAGTTATGAAGTAGCAACGAAAATAATTTTATGGTTGGGGGTCACCACAACATGAGGAACTGTATTAAAGGGTCGAGGCATTAGGAAGGTTGAGAATCACTGCTCTGGAGACATGCTCGTTTGAAAAAATTCCTTAGTGATTTCCCCACACTGAGAACTACTGATCTATTCTGGAAGAGTTCTTCCCCCAGATATCTGCATAATTTACTCACCTTATCAAAAAGATCTCCCCAATGATCCATGTAAGACGGCACTTCCCCATCCTACCGCTATTCCATAAAGCGCTTTATTTCTCTTCACAGCACTGAACACTATCTGACATACTGTTTTTATCTCTTCCCCAAGTGCTCAAAAAAATGTTTATTAAATGAACAAAGAAATGGAAAAAAACAACAACACGCTTATAAACTAAATCCTGGATATGTTACTGGCTACTAAGCACATAAACAGGGTATTTGTGAATTATTATTATGTTCAAATTATTATTTTGATTCCATTATTTATGATCAAAGAGGATTCAGGGATGTTTAGATCATATTCTTGATTCTATAAATGCCATTTATCAAGTCAAAATTCATTTTCTTCCACCAAGAAAAGAGGGAGGGGAGGGTTGGGTAGATCACTGGTTTGATGGTTTTATTTTAAAGCAGTGCTGTCTAATGGAACTTCATGGGATGATGACAATGTGCTGTATCTGCCATCCAGTATAACAGCTGCTAAGCCACATGTGGCTACTGAGCTCTTGAAATGTGGCTAGTGTGACTGAGGAACTAAACCTTAAATTCTACTTAATTTTAAACAATTTAAATAGTCACATGAGACTAGTGGTTATTGTATTGGATAACACAGTTCGACAATGAGAGAGGAAGAGGCGTGATTTACAGAATGAGAAAGATCTGCGTTGGCCTCTTGCCCCAATGAACTCCCTACCTTAGACCATCTTGAGGGACGGTCTTTTGTCTGACCCATCTTGTTATATGTGTAATAATGACAATAATGTTTACAGAATAATAACAGCTAATACTTATGTAGTTTTTGCCACATGCCAGGTACTGTTGTAAGCACTTTACATATTCTACTCATATTATTATCATCATCCCCATTTCACAGATGAGGTCACCCAAGGTCACTGAGTTCACAGGTGGTAAAGCTAGGATTTGAGTCTAGGCAGTGTGGATCCAGGCAGCTGCTCAATAATTTTATTTAACTGACTTACACAGGATTTTTGGAAGGGAGGAAAGAACAGAAACAGAGGGTAAAGATGGTGGGTATGAGAAAGGCAGATGTGAAAAGGAAATATGAAGTTACAGGAAGAAAGGGGAAAGCATTAGGCAGGAGACCTGAGAGTGGAATGAAAATGGGCCATCTTGAAGAGTTCTACCTGACAGAGCTGTAAGGAACACTAGGCCTGTTGTTCCGTGAGCAAATCGTCTCAACCGCAGAAGCTGACGGGTTTCAGGCAACTAAATAAATAAAAAAGTCACTCAAGTTAACAGTTCTGCAGGAACCACAAGAGGCAGCAAAGATCTCCAAGGCCAAAGCCAAGTGACAATGTGAGGTCAGATATTCTCTGACCCCTAAACGAGGTTAGGTACTCCCAGCAGATATTCTGTTCTGACACACATCATGTTTTATTAAATTTATACATTTACCACCTGTCTTCTCTGCTATCCTGTAAGTTTTGTGAGGGCAGGAACTGCCATCTGTCTTATTACAGTAGCCCTAGCCCAAAGCTTGGCATTAGGTGCTCAATACGTATCTATTTCATAACTGCATGATTTGCACTGTTCAGGTGGGCGGGGAGGATGCTTCACCATAGGTGGGCGGGGAGGATGCTTCACCATGGTTGAAATGATGTGGCTTAAAATATAGGACCGGATTTTCATCTTGTGTGTGATATTTAAGGCTTACCATATATAATCAGAATCAAAATTGCATAAAATGCTTAGAGTGGAGATTCTTGTGTTTTTGGTAAAGTCAAAATTTATTTTTGCTATAGTCAACTTTTGATACCAATCAGTGAGTCAGCAAATATTTATGAAGAACTTTATAAACAGGTAACCATAAAGATACAGAAAGGTGAAGTCAGAGTGCTGCCCTCAAATGCTTTGCAATCTAGTACGTGAAGAATGAGGTATCATTACTGAGATTTTTGTAGCATGATGTCAGGGCTGTCAAATAGAACTTCTGCAATGATGGACATGTTCTAGTATCTGTGCTGCCCCCAATAAGTGGATAATGAGAACTTAAACCGAGGCTAGAGCAACTTAAAATTAAATAAAACGTTAATTTTATTTAAAGGTGAAGTAAATAACAAGTTTGTTTAAAGTTAATTTTATTTAATATTAATTAAAATTTAAATAGCCACATGTAGCTAGTGAGCTACTGTGTTGGACAGCATCTCCAACTATATGTTTGACTATCTCAAATCCTTTCTGTAATTAGTGGAATATAAATAAATTTTAAAAAGAGAAAAACAATTCACTGATAATTAAAAAGTCAGTAGAGACTGTTGGCAATGAGTGTGTATATGTAAGTGTGTAGGTAAGTGTGTGGTGGATATGTATCGAGATGGGTTGGGAAGCCAGATGACAAGAACTGAAAGGAAAGAATGGGTTGTCAGGATGTACAGCTATCAATATAGGCAATTCATTTTAGAAATTTGGCTTTGAAAGCCAGGAGAACAGGAATTTTTCAGATGTGGATTTGTCTACTGTACCAATGTTTCAACTCCATCTGGCTTCCCTGTGGGATGACTGACAAGTGAACATCTCCCGTCCTTGTTGGGATCCAGGCCACTGGCTCCAAATTTCTACTGGATGATTCTACTTAAAAGTTCTATTGACATCTCAAAACCTACTCCATAAACAGGTTATCCAGGTCAACCATGTCTTCAATACCTAAAATATTGTTCATTAAAAAAAAAAAAAACCTAGAAAAAACTGTAATCAGCCTACTGAGAAAATACTTGTGGCAAGATCACTAAGTTTACTGTACTGTTCGGCCTGATGAATGGCAGGTCTCCATCTAAAGAACAAACAACCCAAGAAGGCTCTTGTGCACCACCACAGGGCCAGAACTCGCTCTTGTTCTAGCCGCCTCGCCTCGCCATTCCCATCCCTCCAGAATGGTTGGGATGTCTCTTATTGTTGGTACTCCGTCCCACTTTTTCTAAAATTCACGTTTTCACCTTTTCCAATAGGCAATGCTGACAAAATACTCATCTCTTATACTATTTCTCCTTTGAATGAGTTGCTCCAGCTCAAAATAACTGCACATTTTACTCTGCAGTCTCAAAGCTATCCAGTCCCAAAGTTTAATGTTCCTCTAAACTTTGGTTTTATCTGGTTGCTGGTAAACTGGTAGATGTCACCAAGGGAATATGTACATTTTGACATAACTTCCTAGTAGAACCGGAATTACCTGTCAGCGTGTGTAGAACTGGTAACAATATAGACTGACTTTTACCTTGTGCTGAGGCAGCAGCAGTGAGAGCGAAGTCCACAAGCTGGCGCAATAAAGAACCAGGGCTGACCCCAGGTGGGCAGCAAGGCGGTACTGGCTGACCCGAGGGATGTCATGAGAATCTGGTTTTTCTTCTAATCCACTTTTCACCATATACCATCCCAACAGACCCTAGGACCAAAAAGAGAAGAGGCAAAGAAAACAAAGCTGAAACTGTCTATTCAACTTTACTCTCGGAGAAAGTGAGTTATCGATTATCAGGCATACTCCCTACCTGACACTTCCTTTCCATGTCCCTCCCAAATCCTCTGTATCTCAGGAATCATGACTTACCTATATTTCCACATACAGCACCATAAATATTTAACGGCTGATTAGATTATCATTTTATTGAAGTATAAGTCAAATATAGAAAAGCATACAAAAGCTTATCTGTGGGCAAAACCTTACATATACTTGATATGATTTAACATTATGTGAACCACTGAAATATGAGAATACAAAGAGAGCTGTTTCTATAAAAACCAGATTGAATGTTTTGGAAAGCTTGAGAAAGCTTAAAAACAACTACTATCAAGTTAGGTGGGAATGGAAAATTATAAAAGCTTTGTGGGGGTAAAAATAGGTAAGGCTTTGCAGTCAGATTGCTTTGCAAGTATCTAAGTTCTCACTTCTCTTAAGAGAAATGAAAATAAAATGATAGTTTATGGGGGTGTAAGAGATCTGAGCTTGAACTCCAATCAGAGGACTAAAAAACAGGCCTTGGCTCTTCATCCTATATAATAAAAGCCCAGCGACCAAATGGCAAACCAACCGGATGACCGCGGCCCCTAGCCCCGCTAGCCCTGCCCCTGAGCGGCCCCCCCACCCCAATGGGGGCAGGGCCAGCCTGCAAACCACCTGCGGCCCCTCGCCCCGGCCAGCCCTCAACACCCCTAATCACTGCCTGGCTCCCTGGTGCATGTACATTTAGTGAAAACACAAGAAAATAATTATCAGTCCCTCTGTCCCCAACCAGAGGCTCCAGAGGGCTGTGCTAATCCTGCAGCCAAGTGTGGAATTCTCCCTCCACAGCCCGCAGCCCCAGGAGACCTTCCAAGTTAGCCAAAAAGGCGACCTAAGCATTAACGGGATGGCGGCCCTTTGCTGAGGAATGTAGAGAGGCTGGCTGGGGATTTTGTGAAACTGCGGTGCTTGCAGATTAGGTGAACTTTCAATCTCTCTTTAAAAGGGACGGCGAAGAGGACCCACAGGCTGCCAGAAGCAAAGGTGAAGGGTAGGCACATTCAAAAACAGAAAAACTTTTAAACAAACAGACATGAAGATCAAATTGGGAAACTGAGGGCAGAGCACCGGGAAGATGCAAAAATCATTAAAGGGTGAACATCCATCTTCATTAAAGGGCCAACATCCATCTTGATATATGTTTGCAAACAACACATAAACAACTTCATCTCATGGCATGTGAAATGCAAAACAGTTCTGTTGTGGGTTTTCTTCTGGCATCCTTAAAGTATAATTAGATCCAGCTGGGGCCGCTCAATGGGCTCCCATTGGGGTGGGCCAGCCGGACCCCACCCGTGCACAAATTCGTGCACCGGGCCTCTAGTTTTAAAGGTAATGAAAGTACATGTTTAAAAGTTAAGGTATGTATTATTATTCTATGATTCCCTGCTTTTACTAACTTTTTCAAGTAACCCAAGCAAGTGTCAGTTCCAATCATATAAATACTAGAGGGCTGATGCACAAAATTCATACAAGAGTAGGCCTTCCTTCCCCTGGCTGCCGGCACCGGCTTCCCTCCGGCACCCGGGACTTGGGCTTCCCTCCAGCCGCTGGCCTGGGCTTCCCTTGCAGAGGTAGGCCCCGCCCACCCACCGCAGCCTGCCGGTTGGTGGCCTGAGCCTCCCTCTCTGGGGCGATCGTGGAGCCCCCCAATTGATCACTGGGTCTCCCTCTGCAGGGCGATCATGGGGCAATGGCTGGGCCCCTGACCAATTGCATTGCACCCGCCTTGGCTGGCCTGGTGCCAGTGGGTGTCATAACGTGGTCCTGGATGGTCTTTCGGATGGTCTTTCCACTGTTTGGCCTTTTAGTCGATTTGTATATTATGCTTTTATTATATAGGCTAGCCCTGTCACCCCCGCCCTGCCAGGACAATAGAATCATGTCAAAAGGTGGAATTCTCCCACCTCTTCTAAATATATGCTCCTTGGGAAATCTTTTTTGGGCATTTCTTCCCCCTTTATGACTACCCTGGATATCCTATCTTAATTTCATCTGCACAGAACATTGGAAGATGAAGCATAGAGTGTGATTTGCTAGCCCTCATTTTCTTTTTCCATACCCTATTTGCCATCTTCAATTTTCTGCTTCTCTTAGAGTCAGTCCTTAGTGACGTTTTTTTTTCCATTTTTAAACAAATTTTCATTTTGTTTTACCCTCCCTCCCCTAGTTTCTTTCTCTCTCTCTAAAATATATTTTTATTGATTTCAGAGAGGAAGGGAGAGAGTGAGACAGAAACATCAATGATGAGAATCATTGATTGGCTGCCTCCTGCACGTCCCCCATTGGGGATCAAGCCCACAATCCGGGCATGTGCCATGACTGGGAATTGAACCATGACTTCCTGGTTCACAGGTTGATGCTCAACCGCGGAGCCAAGCCAGCCAGGCATTCCCCTCTCCCCTAGTTTCTATTAGACTTTTATTAATGTCTAATTCCTTATTATTTGCTTCTATTGCCTATATTACATCTCTTCCAACTTCCACATTTCCTTCTATTTGGTTCATAATTTCACCATTTCCACGTTAAATTAACCAACTCACTTCCTCCTGATCAAATTTTGATATTTCTTTGATGTTTTGATACTCTCCCTTAGGCCCTATATACTTTGACCCAAATACTCATGTCTTTTCTAACACCCCTTTTCTTGGCTCTCAGCCTCAGAGTCATTCAATGATCTTTTCCTACCATTTATAGTATACAGTACTTTAATACCTCTCAGCTAGATCTATATTTTAAAATCTCTCATCCCACAAACTGTTTCTCTTTTGGAATTTTATTTGCTTCTATAGCCATTCTACCATAGGGATCCCAGTTCCGCACAGATAGAAAAAAGGAAGAGATGAGAATCCAGGAGAGCCATGGTGGGAAAGAAACTCTAATTCTTGTGACACAAAAATATATTTGAGTGCTTACTGATTCCAGGCACTAACCTAAGTTCTTTTTTTTTTTTTAAATATATATTTTATTGATTTTTTACAGAGAGGAAGGGATAGGGATAGAGAGTCAGAAACATGGATGAGAGAGAAACATCCATCAGCTGCCTCCTGCACAACCCCCACTGGGGATGTGCCCGCAACCAAGGTACATGCCCTTGACCAGAATCGAACCTGGGACCCTTGAGTCCGCAGGCCGACGCTCTATCCACTGAGCCAAACCGGTCACGGCTAACCTAAGTTCTTTATATGCATGATCTCATTTAATATTCATGCAACCTAAACAGTAGGTACTATTATTATCCCTATTTACAGGCAAGGGAAGCATAGCCTACAGAGGTTAGAACCTGCCTATACGTGGTAGAGCTGGGCCTTAAAGCCAGGCATGCTACACTAAAATCCACATGCTCACCTATTCTGTTAAACAGTGCCAACTAGGAAGCTCTTGGGAACATCTTGTTTCCCAAACTTGAATAAGTCTCACCTGGAAGCACACTAAGCCACAGAGGGCAAGAACACGTCCTTTCATGTTGTGGCTGAGCCAGCCCTTTCTCCAAAAGTAGGCAGCAGGCAGGATGTATGCGAGGCCTACAAGCCGACCCCACATTCGGTGTGAGTACTCCATGTACCAGATGAACTTGAATTCCGCCAGTGTCATATCATGATTTAAGCTGGGTGAAAAGGGAAGTCAAAAAATAAGCAAGAGGAAACATCCATCTCAATTTTATTTCCCAATGGAATGCAGGAACTTTTTCAGTCTTGATGCTTGATAGGTCTACCCTCTTACTCATCAGTGACCTCAGGATCACTTTGGAATCGAAGGTTTAGCGTAGGAAGCTCACTAAACGTAACAGAGCCAAATGTCAAGAAATAATGGGATCTAATCTTCTGACATGTTTAAATGAGCAAGAGACTGAGTGGATCTCGTGGGACATTTACCTGATTTTTTATAATACTTACATTTTAAATTCTGGAAATTGCTGATATTTTTGGAATTCTGCTTCCCATTCCTCTTGGCTTGTAGGTGGCTTCATCTCCTTTATTAAATGCCAATCTACCATTGAGAGGCCAGACTCTGTCAATCTTAGGAAAGGAAAGAAATTTGAGAGAGAGAGAAAGAGAAAGAGAGAGAGAGAGAGAGAGAGAGAGAGAGAGAGAGAGAGAGAGAGAGGAGAGAGAGAGGCAGAGAGAATGCTCAATGATGGATTACTCATAAATAGTTTATGGCAACAAGTGGATCTAAAGGTAAACGTTTCATTGTTTCCTGACACCTTTCTCTTCTCTTACTGCTTAGAATTCTGACAGAAACAGCAAAATCAACCCTTAGGCCAAGGAAATTTGCCCTAAATGCATAACCAAGGAAAAGAGATTTGATATAGGCATAACACACTTTAGGTTCTTGAGTAAATTTAAAGACAGTAAAATTCAAATTTGTCAGTTCCCATAACAGCCTATATAACACATACAGTATTTGAAATAAGGGCACAGGGAATGTGGAGAGAATTTGAGAACACATACATAATTAAAACCAAAGGTATTTTCACCAAAAAGAGTTAGTGTCTGTAAGTAAAGGGCTGATTTTAGGCTTGAGGCAGGAAATGTACAAGAAGAGCCTGGAATATTTTATCCAGAAAGCAAGGACTCAAAGGTTACCAGGGTCCTGTCAAAAGGTCTCTGGAGCCAATTTGAGAGGTTCTCACTAAGGATGGGACAATTTGAGCAAAACATCACTGCAATGGATTGAAACATACCAAGTATGTTTAAACCTATGAGCTCATAGGATACTTAAAAACGCACACTTTATTGTTTACCTTTGGAGGGTACGTGGGAACCAATTTGTTATTTTGAAAACTGGTAAAAAAAGGGAAAGAATCAAGTATTTACCCTGCTTTTCCTATATACAATGTTCCTTAGGATAACCCAATTGTTGATGAGGGAAAGTTTCTCTTTAGAGCTGAGCTACTAGAATATTACAATTTTAAACTCTAATGAAATAATGGATCTGGGCAATGATCACCAATGGTGGTTGGCATCTCTAATAGACACTAAATATTTGTAAATGTTATAATCACCTATGAAGTATTTTGCCCCCTGTCCCAACCTGAAGCTGATCACGCAAAAACCAGTTTACAGGAAATACCGGGGACACTGGGACTTGTTAGCCACCCCCACCATTGTATGCAACCAGAAAAATCCAGACTGGGAAACTCTATAGGACCAATGATTTGGGTTTCTTCAATAAAAACTGCCAATGGGGGGGTGGGGGTGGTGAGGTGGAAAGGGGAGGTATAAAGAGACCTAAGAGGCATATGAACTAATTTTGATGTATCAAACTTATTTGGGTTTAATTCAAACTAACTGTATACAAAATTTTGAGACAAATTTGAACTCTGATTATAGGGGGAAATAGACACAAACAATGTACAGCTAACAATTAAGATCTAAACCAGTCTTTATGAAGTGCTCCTATTAAATAAACCCTCAACTGTTCTATGTCAGGGCAAGCTATCAGTCATATTCCCTCTTTAGGCCTCAGTTTCTGCATTTATCAAATGAAGGAGCTAGACTACATGATTCCTGGGGTCCTTTCCCCCTTGGTCATCCTGTACCTCTACTGACGACCCAAACAGCTGACAATTGCTATGAGCAAATTACTCACCTAGTTACTCCACCAAGAATAACTGCTCCAGCCACTGTTCCACTGCAGACCAGGAGCCATCGGCCCACCACCCGCTCAGCAGCCTTTGAAGGGAGCGACACTGTACCCCTTCCAGATTGTAAAGCTACTTCAGAGATGGTGCTGTACTGCCCTGGCCTCAAGGGGATCCTGATCCCACAGCTGCAACCACACTAAGGATCAAGACAGATAAATTACAACTGGAGAGAGGGAGACCTCACTTCACTGCTACTCACCCTAGTCCCACTGTGCTGTGCAACATCTCCACTGCTGCTGCCCTGGTAAATCATCTCTTCACTGGATTACTGTATCCACCTTCCTACTAGTTTTCCTGCCTGTAGTCTTGGCCTCATTCCAATCCATTGACACACTACACGAACCTTCTGATCTCTGCATACTTCCCCCAGACTTAACTCTACACCTAGACATGGGTTCTTTTATTTCTTCTGTGGATTTTTAAATAAGACTTCTGGGACACCCTTGTTCCCTGATAGAAAATACAGGCAGCCTGGCTGGTGTGGCTCAGTGGTTGAGCATCAACCTATGAACCAGGAATTCCCAGTCAGGGAACATGCCTGGAATGTGGGCTTGATCCCCAGCAGGGGGCGTGCAGGAGGCAGCAGATCAATGATTCTCTCTCATCACTGATGTTTCTACCTCCCTTCCTCTCTGCAATCAATTAATATATATGTATACATGAAAATACAGGCATACCTCGTTTTATTGTGCTTCAATTTTTGCGCTTTGCAGATATTGCGTTTATTTTACAAATTGAAGGTTTGTGGCAACCCTGCATTGAAAACTTCCCAGAAAGGAGTCCCCATTCTAGATGCCATTTAGAACATTTGTGATTCACAGAAAGAGGTGAAAATATCAATATTAACAGGACTTTGGAAATTGACTCCAACCTTCATGGATGACATTGAGGGGCTCAAGTCTTCCGTGGAAGAAATAACTACAGATGTAGAAACAGCAAGAGAACTAGAATTAGAACTGGAGCCTGAAGTGTGACTCAACTGCTGTAACCTCATGATAAAACTTGAACAAACGAGAAATTGCGTCTTTTGGAGAAGGAGAAAAAGTGGTTCCTTGAGATGGAATCTACTCTTGGTGAAGATACTGTGAAGACTGTTGAAATGGCAACAAAGGACTTAGAATATTACATAAACTTAGTGCTAAAGCAGTGGCAGGGTTTGAGTGGATTGACTCCAATTTTGAAAGAAGTTCCACTGTGGGGAGAATGCTATCACACAGCATCCCATGCTGTAGAGAAATCATTCTCATGAAAGGAAGTCCATCAATGTAGTAAACTTCATCTTATTTTAAATAATTGCTACAGCCACCGCAACCTTCACCCTGATCGGCCAGCAGCCATCAATAAATATCAAGGCAAGACCCTCCACAAGCAAAAAGATGACGACTCACTGAAGGCTCAGATGATGGTCACCAGTTTTTAGCAGGAAGGTATTTCTAAATTAAGGTATGTGCATTGAATTTTTAGACATAATGTCATTGCACACTTAATAGACGATAGTATAATGAAGATATAACTTTTATATGCACTGGGAAACCCCAAAATTCATGTAACTCGCTTATGTGACATTCGCTTTATTGCAAGGGTCTGGAACCGAACCTGCATTACCTCCGCGGTGTGCCTGTAATGCCCACTGCAGACCTCAGTTTAGAAGCCACCTCCTCTGGTTGATATTTTCACCTCTTTCCTCTGGGAAGTGTTCCCAGACTATCCTAGGTCCGCAACAGGTCACTCTCAGCACACTTTAGGTTCCTCCCTGTCTCCCACTAAACTCTGAGCTGTGGGACAACAGGGTCTGGTCCCTTCTCTCCTGCTTCCTTTGTTTCAAACAGTTCCCTTACCCAACAAAACCTTCACAAATGAATTACAAATAACTACACTGTGCCCGCCTCCAGGGCAGTAGCCTTTGGATAGTTTCTTTTGCTTCCCAGTTCCTAACACATAGCAGTCACTCAATGCAGCAATTGTTAGTGGAGGGGAGACATCCCTGAGGACCAAAAGACCGTATCTGGTTTCCTGCTTCTAATTAAGTAACTTTAGACAAATTAGGCCTCAATTTCCTTCTTTGCAGAAGGGAGTTACACAATCCTTAACCTGGTTACCTGGGGACTTTTAGCAAGAATCAAATATCTGGATAAAATTTACTGAGCTTTTACTTTGTGCGAAGTGCTTAGGTATATTAAATGTAATCCTTCCAGAAGTCTTATGAATTAAGTATTGTTGTCATCCCCATTTTTAGAGATGAGGAAACTGAGGCACAGAAAGGTTACCTAACGTGGCTAGTAACTAACACACAGCTAGTAAGTGGCAGGTCCAGTTCGGAACGCAGGGGCTCCGGAAACAAGGACACGCGCCTTGAACTCTAAGGAGCTACGGAAACGTGATGTGGGTCATCTACCGTCTTCCTGCCCGTGTCCGCTTCCGCTGCGGTGCGGTACCTGCGTTCTAGGCGCCGCCCTGGGACCCAGGAGTCGGAGACACGGGCCCCCCATCAAGGCCTTCAAGGGCGGAAGGAGTAATCGCTGCATATTGAGGACGGGGCCCGGCCGCTACCTCCACACCCCGGCGCTCGGAGGTCTCTCCTCTCCGCCTCGGGGAAGAAGCACTTCCGAGTCACACTAAGCGAGCTCCTCCTCCCGAGACAGCGGGGTGAGCAGTGACTGCGCCTGCGCCGGCGACTTGGCGTTCGCGGGGGCTGCTGGGGCGTGGACGTCAGGGGCGCGCGGAGGCGCGCGCAGTGGTGGGAACGAGCTTCCCTGGTCGCGCGCACCAAAACCGGGATCCGAGTGGAAACCGTAGCCTCGCGAGGGAGGACCGTGTGGAGGATGAAGAGGCAGGGGATGCCGTCCGGGAAGACCGGTGCGGAAAGGGGCGGGGCGGGGAGGGGACGGCCCCCCTCGCTGCCGGGAGCGGGCGGGCCTGCCGGGGTTTCTGATCGGCCAATGGATTGATCGCGATTTCCCTCGGGGTCCCCTGCGCGACGGGTTCTGCCATTCCCGCTGTAAACACGTGGGAAGGGGTGCCTGAGAAGGGCGTGCAGTGAGAGCGGCCCGGCTCTGGAGCCAGAGGTGTGGGTTCGAGTCCCGGGGCCCCCGTGTATCGTCGCGCGATTGTCTTCAAGTTGGTTAACTTCTCCGAGCCTCACGTTTCGCGTCGCCACTCGAGCATCTCTGTGAGCCCAGCGCCTACCCTGTGCTGACCGCTCCATCACCTGCGGCTGCTGCAGCGGCGGAGGGGGTTCTCCGGAGCCACGCAGCCACCAGGGGCAGAGGAGTCCCGCCTTCCTCCTGTCGCCCAGGGTAGGAGGCGTGGCAGGTGCTAGGGGTTTGGCAGACCCCTCCGTGAATTCCGGGTTCCTCCAAACCAGCGGTCCTCGGATCCCCTTCCCCTCCTAAAAATTATTGAGGACCTCAAAGACCGTTTTTATATAGGTTAAATCTATTGATACTGACTGTATTTAAAATTAAAACAAAGTTTTAAAACAGTTATTAACTAGAAAATAACCATAATAAACCCATTGCATGTTAACGCAAATAACATTTTTTTTTTCTGAAGAAGAACTGTTTTCCTCAACAAACAAAATGGAATAGTGCCGATGTTTTGTGTTTGTGCAGACCTCTTGACTATCAGGCTTAATGGAATTCTCATGCCTGTGTTCTTATACCTGCTTCTGCATTCGGTCTGACATGTCAGGTAGCCTCCCCAAAACTGCACTTTGTGAAATAATGAAAGTGCAAAAGGCAAATAAAATTTTAATATCATGCAATTTTTCACTGCACAGACCCTGAAAGGATCATGGAAGATTCTAAGATCCCGAAGGCCCCCAGAGCTAACTGACCTACTGCACTTTGAGAACTGCTCCAAACAAATACCTTTTTCTTTGATCCCCATAAGAACTTTGCTTTGCCTTACTCTGCCTTCTGTCATAGCCTTTTGTGTGCGTCCCCACCCTCTCCTAGCCTAGCCAAGGCCCTTTCTTGCACGAGGTAAACGGTACCCCTGCAGCATTGTCCAGTTAGATTGACCTGACAGCTGGTCCGGAAACTCAGAATTAATGCAGCTCTGTGGGTTAAGGGCACAGGGTGGCGCTTAACTCTTTCACAGTTTGAGACTGATAGTCTGATAGTCTTCTTTTAAATAAATGAGACAGTTGCAACTTGATCTTAGCAGATGATATGTTTTTCTTTTTTTAAAATATGTTTGTTTTTGTTTCTTTATTTCCGGGAAGGAGAGAGAGATAGAAACATCAATGATGAGAGAGAATCATGATGGGCTGCCTCCCGCCTGTCCCCCCGCTGGGGACTGAGCCTGTAACCCAGGCATGTGCCCTGACCTGGTTCATAGGTCGATGCTCAACTACTGAACCACTCCAGCCAGGATAGATTTTTGTTTTTTAAATTAAAAATTGCTTTTAAAAAAATGATAAAATCAATATTAGGTAGAAGAAAAATCAAGCAATGTAGGAAAGTAAAAACAGTAAAGGCATTCCAAATCCCAGCACCTAGTTATAGTCATTATCGGTATGTGATAACCATTCTTTCAGATATTGCATGAAGTATGCATTCAGAATTCTTAATTTTTAAAAATTATATGTTTAGCTTACAGAAAAAAATGCAAAACTCTATTTTCATATTTTTTAGCGTAGATATGTGACTTTTTATGAATTTGTAATTATTCAGACTTTAGTAAATGTTTGCTTGACTGTTGTGGACCATGGTAGACACTGTGGCTTACTGTGGGTGATAATAAAGATTTCTCACATAAAGACCTTACTTAGGCCCAGGCCAGGTGGCTTATCTCATTAGAGCATCCTCACAATATGCCAAGGTTGTGGGTTCGATCCCTGGTCAGGGCACATAAAAGAATCAATCAATGAATGCATGAATAAGTGGAATAACAGATTGATGTTTCTCTTTCTTTCCCTCTCTCTCCTCCCCCCTCCTCCCTGTCTAAAATCAATAAGTAAGTTAAAAAGTAACCTTTGTGGGGAAAAAGACCTTATTTGTGAACTTTAGATAAAGTAAGAGTGATCAAACACTTATCTACATAAATAATAATAGATAGAAAATCGTGTCTTGAAGAGATACAGTTAGTGTTTTAAAGAAGACCATATAACTTATAAAGAATTATATGAGTTCAGCCCTGACCAGTTTGGCTCAGTGGATAGACTGTCTGCCTGCAGACTGAAGGGTCCCAGGTTCGATTCCAGTCAAGGGCATGTACCTTGGTTTCGGGCACATCCCCAGTAGGGGGTGTGCAGGAGGCAGCTGATCGATGTTTCTAACTCTCTATCCCTCTCCCTTCCTCTCTGTAAAAATCAATAAAAATATATTTTAAAAAAAGTTATATGAATTCAAAAAAGGGAGATACAATTTCCTACTTTGGGAGACAGGAAGTATGGAAATAAGGGTTGACACGAGTCTTGGAAGAGTTTAGCAGTCAAAGATGGAGCTGGGAGGACTTTGTGGATTGAGGAGATGGCATAAGCAAGAGCAGGAATGAGCATTAGGGACAACTGGAGGCATATAGAGAAAATACCTTGTGGTTCATGAAACTAGTACTTTTTGCACACTTAGTTGGTAGTATCACTTTACATGATTTATCTTCACTACTCTGGGGTGGGTACTACAGTCTACTCTGTTGTACAGACAACTTAGACTAAGTAATTTGTCTAAGGTCATACAAGTTTGGAGGGGGCCAGGATTTGAGGTCCATCCTAGCACTTAAACATATATTCCTTGTAAAGAAGTTTAAACGTATTCTGCAGGCACTCATTGAGAAGCATTGAAAGCATCTGACCTGGAATGTGATGAGGTCTGTGTTTTAGGAAGATTAATTCGGCATTCAGTAAATATTGTTTTCAGTATAATTTTTTATATGTTAGTGTTCTTATTTCATAGTCCAAAGACATCAGTTTTATAATTAACATGATATTTTATTGCATTCATGGCCCCTTATATACTTAAACACTTTACTCTATTGGACATTTGAATTTTGGCAGCAAAATATAAAATGATAGTGGTAGATGGGTCTGGATAAATAGTCCCCTCATGGTATTGCATTGTTTTTCATGTGTTTTAGGAACAGCAGATGGATTTCTCATGGAAGTGTGTGTTGATTCAGTGGAGTCGGCTGTAAATGCAGAAAGAGGAGGTAAGAAAAATTAGAGACAGAATGACAGTTTCCAGTCCTTTTTTAAAAAATACGTTTTTTTATTGATTTTTAGAGAGAGAGGAAGGGAGAGGAATAGAGAGATAGAAACATCGATGGGAGAAAAACATCACCAATTGGCTGCCTCCTGCATGTGCCCAACTGGGGATTAAACCTGCAACCTGGTCATGTGCCCTGACCGGGAATTGAACCAGTGACCTCTTGGATCATGGGTCAACACTCAACCACTGAGCCATACCAGCCGGGCTACAGTCCTTTTAAGAGTCTGAAAATGCATCCTGTGAACTGACCTTGGGAGCCTTTGTGATTAGGAAGGATTCTATTAATTCTTTTGAAAACAACTAAAAAACCTGGAAAATTATGATTTTTTAGTCTTACTCCCTAGTACTTTACATTTTGAGTTAGTGTCCACAATAGTGCTTACTGATCATCAACTTCATCTTTTTTTTATTGAACTTAGCAAAGATTTATTTTTTTTCAAATTAATTGATTTAAAGATGATTTTAGAGATTTGTTACCATTTTCATTATTAGGACTTCTAGCTTATCTTTTTTTTTTTTTTTACATTATTTTTACCTTAAGATTTCTTTTGCACTGTGAACTGCTTTAATAAGGAAGCATCTCAGGATCAGGAAATTTTTTAGTTTTTTATTATGGAAAACTTCAAACGTATATAAAAATAGAGAAAATAGTATAATGAATCCGCATGTACCCATTACTTTGCTTCTCTCATTTTCAGTACATGACCAGTCTTTCATCTCTTTTGAGTGTTGGAGGGTGGTGGGAGGGGGGTGGTGGTGTCTACAAACTTTTTTGTAAAGAGCAACATAGTTTATATTTTCAACTTTGCTGGCCACATTTGGTCTTTGTTGCATCTTTTTTTAAAAAATATTTTTAATTAATTTATTTGTTTGGGTTTTTTTTTTAGAGAGATCAATTTGTTGTTTCACTTACTTATGCATTCATTAGTTGATTTTTGTATGTGCCCTGAGTAGGGATCCAACCTGCAACATTGGTATACCCAGACGATGCTCTAACCAACTGACTTACCAGGCCAGGACTGCATCATCTTTGTTTTTAAATATAATCCTTTGAGTACAACCTGGGTGGCTCAGTGGTTGAGCATTGACCTATGAACTAGGAGGTCACAGTTTGATTCCCAGCCAGGGCACTTGTCCAGGTTGCGGGCTCAATCCCCAGTGCAAGCCGTGCAGGAGGCAGCCAATCAGTAAATATCTCTCTGATCATTGATGTGTTATCTCTCTCTCCCTCTCCCTTCCTCTCTGAAACCAATAAAAATATATTTTAAAAAATATCCTTTGAAAATGTAAAAACCATTCTTAATTTGGCAATAAAAAACAATGAAGTACTGGTACATGCTGCAGCACAGATGAATTTTAAAAGATTATTATAAGTGGGAAAACAAATAGTAAAAATAATACCATGTAGTGTATGATTCCACTTTTATGAAATGTCCAGAATAAGCAAATTTATGGAGACAGAAAGTAGATTAGTGGTTGCCTAAGACTGAGGAACATGGAGAGAGAGGGAAGTGACTGCTAATGGGTGGGAGTTTTTTAGGGGTGGGATTAACAATGTTGTAAGATTGATTATGGTAATGGTTGCAAAACTTTGTGAGTACGCTAAAAACCATTGAATTATCCACTTTAAATGGGTGCATTGTATGGTATGTGAATTATATGTCAATAAAGATGTTATTTTTTTTTTAACTTTTTCAACTTGCAGGCCATAACAAAAATAAACTGTGGACCTTTGGCCTGTGAGCCATAGTAGTTTGCTGACCCCTGATCTATATAACTACCTTCCCTCCTCCACCCTTAGATTATTCTGGAGCAAATATCAGACACCATGTCATTTCATCCTCAAATAATTTAGTATGTATCTTTAAAAGAACAATTTTAAAAAATAATAACCTTAGTATCACTAACATGTCTTAAAACTTTGTTTCTTAATATCATCAAAAAATACCCAGTTAGTTTTCAGATTTCTCCTACAGATTAGCTCATACAGTTTTGTTTTGTTTTGTTTTACAGTTCTTTGAGTCAAGATCCAAACATTTTATTTGTTATGTCTTTTGTCTATTTCAGTGTTTCTCTTCTTTAATTCTTTTTTTCCCTTGTAGTTTGTTAATGAAACTGTGGTTTTCATCTTTTAGAATATTTTTGCTGACTGTATATTTAGTATCATTTAATATGTTCCTCAGACTCTTATGTTTCCTGTAAAATTATGGTTAACCCAGAGGCTTAATCAAATTCAGATCTGAGTTTCTTATAGATACTTTACAGATAACATTGTTATACTACTCTCTGTTACATCAATTAAGAGGATAACATCTTAGTTTCTTCTATTTTGTGATATTAAGATTGATCAATGGATTCAGATATTGTCAGCTTAATCGATTCTTTATAAGGTTGCTTGTTAACTTTCATCTAATAATTTTAGCAGGGTTTGCAGAATGGTACAGTATTAAGGTTAGCATTTGTTTACATTTTATTAGCAGTATACTTCTGTAAAGAAGATTCTCCCTCATCTGTTTGGGTATACAAGAAAGGCAGAATAAATACTTGCTTCTTTTCCCTTATTTACTGATTTTTGAGATAATGAGTTTGTTCTCTATTCTTCAGTGAATTTTTTTTTATCATTATAAACCTAGATTTAGACATATTTGATGTATTTTAACACACTGTAGTTATTCTTTTTATTGATGCTCAAAAGGTCCCATCTTTGGCTGGTAGGGAGTAGCCTTTTCAAACTAGTTCCTGAGATCTTTTGACATAACCCATGTCTGATAGTTCTTTAGCTTTCAGTATTTTCCTATTCTTGAGATTACCTTGAGTTAAGCTATTTAAATTAACTATGCTTTTTTAAAGCTTAGAATAATAAAGACTCTCTTGGAAAACATTGTTATTTTCTTATTAGTGAAGAGTCCAGAGTTCCACTATGGTCAATCTAGAAACTTCTTCTTTTTTAAAAAAATATATTTTTATTGATTTCAGAGAGGAAGGGAGAGGGGGAGAGAGAGAGAGAGAAAATCAATGATGAAAGTCATTGATTGGCTGCCTCCTGCACACCCCCTACTGGGGATTTAGCCTGCAACCGGGCATGTGCCCTTGACCGGAATTGAGCCCGGGACCCTTCAGTTCGCAGGCTGATGCTCTATCCACTGAGCCAAACCAGCTAAGGCTAGAAACTTCTTTATTCTAAGTCTCTTTCTTGTACATGGAGAGAAAACACTGTAATACAAAATTTTAAGACACCTAGTTTAACTTGAGTTAACACTTAAAGTTGACTACCAGTAACATAATGTGAGTTGGAGAATATAGGTGGAATTAAAAATAGACTTTTACTTTAGTTTTATAATTTGATTTCTCTATTTCTAACACTTTTTGTTCTATATTTGGAAAAAATATTAAGTTTGCTATTTAATAAGAGTTTATTTGGGGCAGTAATTTTTGAGCAATACTTTATTTTAAAATTCTTTATTGTTTAAAGTATTACATATAGTATTACATATGTCTCCTTTTTCCCCCATTGACCTCTCCCCTGCCACACCCCTCCCCCCCATACCCTTACCTCCCTAGTGTCTGTTTCCATTGGTTATGCTTATATGCATGCATACAAGTCCTTTGGTGCCTTTAAAAATATTTTTTAATTTTCAAAAATTTTTTGTGCTGAGCAATGCTTTTTTTTTTTTAAATCACAGGTGCTAGTCGGATTGAATTATGTTCTGGCTTACTGGAAGGAGGAACCACACCCAGCATGGGTAAGTGTCCATTTTTTGGATTCCTGGAGACAATTGATAATTTGTTTCATTGGAATCCTTTACAGTGTTACTAACATGTTAACTATGCTATGGATATTGTATTAGTTAGATAGGCTTATGGTTGTAAATAAACTTGTCTATCAAAGATGTGATCAAATAGATTTTTTAGACATTAAAAAGTTGAGATGTAGGTAGTTGCTCTTAATATTGGTTCAGTTGCTGTGCAGTAATATCAACAACCAGAGTTTTCTGTTATCTTTCCATCTTGGCATCCTTAGTTTATTGAGTTTTGTTTTCATTTCTCCCCTTCTGGTCTTTGTGTCGTTGACATACATTTTACTTCTACGTATGTTAAAAATTGCACACTACTTATTATTATTTTCACTGAGGCATTTTATTTGCACACATGCCGTACACCCCTAGAAAAAGAATCCCAGGCTTTCCCCTCCCGTGTGTTTTGGTCTTGCTTCTTCATCATCTGTGAGGCCCACTGATGTTGTCAGTACAAGGAAACCAAACTGATGTGCCAGAAGCAGGTTGGTCTGCCATTTTCTAGATCTTGAGTTACACATCAAATCTGGGGTTGATCACTCCACACTTGTCTAACCTGCCCGCAAGGTTCACAGCGATTTTCACAACTCTGATACTTTTTAAAGAGTCAGTTGTCTGTTAGGATGTGAGGGCAGTCTGGCTGCGACATCTGTTACCCCATTGATCACCACAGGGCTGATCTGGCTGGCTGGGTGGGTGTCCCCTTCCTCCCTCACAGATCCACGCGTGTCCCTCCCGAAGCTGCGTGTGTGCTTGAATGAAGAGGAGAGGACCGGTCTCTGGTCAAGGGTATAGGAGTAGCCGTGCTCCCCTGCTAGAACCTCCAAACAAGCTCTGGTTGCTTTTAAGATATTTTTTCTTTATTTTTGGTTTGGAGCAATTTGATTATGATGTACCTGAGTGTAGTTTTCTTCATGTTTCTTAGATCTGTACATTTATACTTTTTACCACATTTGGAAAATTTTCAGCTTTCAATGTCCTTCACTACCTCTTTTAGAGACTTCAGTTACACTTATAATTGAATATTTTCAATTGATTAAATTTGTTCTATAATTCACTGATGAACTGCTCTTGTCTTCTTTTTCTCTCTGTTTCATTTTGTATAGATCCTGTTGCTTTGTTTTCAAGTTTACTAAACTTTGCTCTGCAATGTCTTATCACTGTTAATCCCACCTACTGTGTTTTTCATCTTACACATTTTAGTTTTCATCTCTAGAAATTTGAGTCTATAATATCTCCCATGCAGCTTCTTAACATTTTGAATGGAATAAAGTTATAATAGCTATTTTAATGACTTGACTGCTTATTCTAACATCTGTATGAGTTCTAGGTTGGTTTTGCCACATGATGCATCTTGTTTTCCTGCCTGATAATTTAAAAAATGTATATTTTTATTGATTTCAGAGAGAGGAAAGAGAAGGAGAGAGAGGTAGAAAAATCAATGATGAGAATCACTGATCGGCAGCCTCCTGCATGCCCCCTACTGGGGATCGAGTCTGCCACCCTGACATGCCCTGGCTGGGAATCGAACTTCGACCTCCTGGTTCTGGGAACTGACAAGAGCTTTTAAAATGCAGTAACTTCCTTCTGTTTTCTAAGTTGTTCTCTTTTATCTTTGATTGTCTTATTACTTAACTTCTGGGGCTATTTTTTTCTTCTCAGTATCCTCTTTCCTTTTAGGTCCACTTTTCTCTGGTCTCCTCAGTCAACTCTTCCTTCTCTTGTAGAAGTGATACTATCATAAGAGTATATATAAAAGACCAATAATATTTTTAAAATATATTTTTATTGATTTCAGAGAGGAAGGGAAAGGAAGAGAGAGATGGAGACATCAATGATGAGAGGGAATCATTGATCGGTTGCCTCCTGCATGCTCCTACTAGGGATCGAGCCCACAACCCGGGCATGTGCCCTTGACCGGAATCGAACCTGGGACCCTTGAGTCCACAGGCTGACACTCTATCCACTGAGCCAACCCAGCCAGGGCAAGTCCAATAATATTTTATTGACTTCCTTGAGCTTCTCGCTCATATTTGTATTTTAATTAGTCTGATTCCTATTCTTACAGGTGTCCTTCAAGTAGTGAAGCAGTGTGTCCAGATCCCAGTTTTTGTGATGATTCGGCCGCGCGGAGGTGATTTTTTATATTCAGATCGTGAAGTTGAGGTGATGAAGGCTGACATTCGTCTTGCCAAGCTTTATGGTGCTGATGGTTTTGTATTTGGGGCATTGACTGAAGATGGACACATTGACAAAGAGCTGTGCACGTCGCTTGTGGGTAAGAATTTATATCTGAGACCAAAAAGCCTCTAATGATGCTTGCATTTTAATATTTCCAATATAGAAAAGCACATTCACAAAGCTGACTTTTCAGGCACTAGTATAAGTTAGTATAAACTATAATAAATAGTCGTTTTTTTAGATGTTTGTGCGGGGGGTATGTGTGGCATAGTCTTCCTGACTCTTTTCTATAGATCAGGTTTTGCCACGTTCCTGAAGAATTAAAGGAAAGTTTACCTTGATTCTTTCAATTATTACACCAAAAACCACAAAAACTTTTGCATTTGGTGAGGATGGGGAAATATGGAGAGGACAGAAGTAAACTATCTATATTACTAGGCCAAGTATTCTTGAAGATTCTCAGAGGATATAATGCTGCCCTTATAGTAGCCAGATTATATAATTTTTATTTAGTGCCTCTAAGAAGTATATGATCATTTTTTAAATATAAAAATCAGAGATTAATGGAAACATAGGACTTTTGAATTTGAAAGGCTGCCATTTTATTATTATTTCAGTTCACTTAGGAGAGGAAGATACATAAGTCCCATCTAACATGGGGAATTCTGTATATAGTAATCAGTGATGATCTCATCATTCATGTTATGTGACTTTCTTTTATAGCTATGTGCCGTCCTCTGCCAGTCACTTTCCACCGAGGTGAGTCATTTCCATTTTAGAAATTCTATTGAATAATGTCAGCTTTCTAATTTCACCAAATGCCACAAGCTTTGTTTGGAACACAATTCTATAGTGTTACAGTATTACCAATTGGTTTCTTCTTATTATTTTATTTTTATTTTAGAGAGAGTGGAAGTGAGAGGGGAGGGGAGAGAGAGAGAGAGAGAGAGAAACATCAATGTGAGAGAGAAAAAAAACAATCAGCTGCCTCCCACACCCACTCCTACTGGGGATCAAACCAGCAACCTGGGTATGTGCCCTGACCAGGAATTGAACCTGTAACCTTTCGGTGCTCAGCGGATGACTCTCAACCAACTGAGCCACACAAGCCAGGGCCCAATTGGTTTCTTTATACTGATCTTGGGACTAACAGTTGTAAATTTAGAAATGCAGTTTCTAGAATATATGAAACCTTAGTTTTGAAAAGTTGTTAAAAATAGATGGTGGTGAAGAAAAATAGATGGTGGGGCCCTAGCTGGTTTGGCTCAGCGGATACAGCATCAACCTGCAGAATGAAGAGTCCCAGGTTCAATTCTGGTCAAGGGCACATGCCTGCATTGCGGGCTCGATCCCCAGTAGGGATTGTGCAGGAAGCAGCTAATCAATGATTCTCTCTCATTATTGATGTTTCTGTCTCTCTCCCTCTCCCCTCCTCTCTGAAATTAATCTATTTACATATATATATACACACACACACACACATATATATATATATATAGATGGTGGGGGACGATAATAGAGGGAGAGAATAAGCACTGCCTACGAGTACATACACTTGTCACAGCATTCTAAGCAACAATCCTGAGATTCATTGCCTTAGGTCTTATGCAACCCCAAAAAGAATAAATTACTGTGACCAGTAAAATGAAATTTACTGCTTGTTAAGGTTGACAAGACTATTTCTGTATCTAGGAGTGAGGTTAGCTTCCCTAGAAGAACATTTGATTCATGGGCAGAGAGGGGGTGGATATATGAAAAAGAACTGGATTCTGTTAGGAAGGAGGAAAGAAGAAATAGATGCTGGATTGTCAATGAACAGATAGATGTTCACTACAGTGCACAAAATTGCTTTACAGTATTGATAACTTATCTACATCAGAATAATTTCTAAAATGTATCTAATTTCATATAAAAGTACTTCCTATCTATAAATCAGAGTTATAATTTCTATACACTTTTCTAAACATTGGTAAAATGAAGGAACATTTCGTTTTGCCTTCAGAGGGCGCTGCTATTGTACAAGAAAAGAAGGAAGTCTTCAGTCAATCTTTTTTTGACTTGGTAGCATGTTTCAGAAATTGTTGAATGTTTTTCTGACCTTTTGTAGGCATTCAGAGATTAGGATAAGAGTAGGTACCAGCACTTGCATCCATTTATATAAACTAGAAATAAAGCAATTATTACCTTGTTTTTCTTTAAATGGGTAATACCACCACAAAACTTTTTTTGACATGCTATTTAGCAGTGCTTTTCATTAACTAGCAATAACTAAAAGATGTTAGGTTGCTTAAAAATCAGAACCTTGAGGCTAGTCAAAAAAAGTGTTTGAATATGGCAAGTAATTTTAATTAGTAAACATTTATCTGAAAAACATATAGTTTAAAATTTGATATTGTAAATAATTCAAAATAAACCCATCATATTGAATATATTTTTTTGTTCTTAAACTAAGAAAATCATTTCAGCCCTGGCCAGTTTGGCTCAGTGGATAGAGCATTAACCTGTGGACTGAAGGGTCCTGGGTTCAGTTCTGGTCAAGGGCACATGCCAGGTTGCAGGCTCGATCCCCAGTATAAGGGGCATGCAGGAGGCAGCTGATCAATGATTCTCTCTTATCATTGATGTTTCTATCTCTCTCTCCCTCTCCCTCTCCCTTCTCTCTTATCATTGATGTTTCTATCTCTCTCTCCCTCTCCCTCTCCCTCCCCCTCTAATAAAATAAATGCAGTTCTCTACTCTATTTTTTTTTAATCATTTCAAATTTCTGTTCTTTTCCTTCATATCACAAAACTGACTTTTTGGTCATACCTGCAGGCACTTATACTAACCTATTTTATATAAGTTTACTAAACTATTCAATAAGTTTAAAAAATGTTTTCATGTTCTCAAATTTTTATATAGGCTTGGGTTCCACATTTTTTCCACTCATGTATTTAATGAGATAGTGTGATAGTGTAATCACTGATGAGAAGATGCTGCCACCAAAAAAAGGAAAATAGTAGATTTAGCTGCCTCCATACACTTAATGATGAAAGGAGGGGTCCTAGCACCTAATTCCTCATATGTTAGAACTTCCATATCATATAGCGATGCTGAAAACCAAAGCACAAGTAATTTTTCTGTTTGAGGTTTCTAGTGCCACTTTACTCTTGGGGGAGGAGAGATGTCTTTTAGAAAGTAAGATGGGAAAGAAACCTCATGCAATCCGTTGTAAACCACTGTCTTTGTACAATGAGCCTGGGGTATGCAGGGTAAATAGATTAGTACAAGCGATTAGTCAATAACGAGAATGTGAACCAAGGTCTTTTTTAGAACTGGTGAGTAATGTTTCATCCTACTTACTCAGTTTGTCTGAAGCCTCAGGCAGACTTTCCCAAATTTGAGTCACTTGCCTATCACATTTATAATTTTACCATACCTGATTGCTTCCTGTGCAAATTTATTTAATAATTTTCTTAAATCCTAAATAAATTTATTTTAAAGAGAAATTTTTATAAGTAATGAGAAATGGAAAATTTTCACTCTGATCTGCATTTAAGTAAATGCATCTATTCAGATGTGTACCACCTAAATGATCATGCATACCATCAGTTGTATGCAGACTGTGGTGTGCTGGTAAACTGGCTCTTGCGGGAGAAACCCTGATATGTAGTATTTGTTGATTTCTGTGGTTTAAATACCGCCCCCCCCCCCTTGCTCTGGCCAGTGTGGCTCAGTTTGTTGAAGCATCATCCTGTATACCAAAAGGTCTAGGGTTCAGTTCCCAGTCAGAGCATATACCCAGGTTGCAGGTCGTACAGGAGGGAACCAATTGATGTTTCTCTCTCTAAAATCGATAATAACATAAACTCGGGTGAGGATTTAAAAAAATACTCCCACCTTAAGTGATTTTAAGCTGCCAATGGATTAACAATCATGCTTACAAAATTTCTGAATATTTAACAATGGACTCCTGCAAGCCAGTACCAGCCAGGTCCAGCATACCACTGTGTATACTAGTATACTACATTTTAATCATCACTGTGTTACTATCTGTTCAAAATTCAAATCAATTTTATTTATTTCAGCCTTTGACATGGTTCACGATCCAATGGCAGCGCTAGAGACTCTGTTAACCTTGGGATTTGAACGCGTATTGACCAGTGGCTGTGACAGCTCAGCGCTAGAAGGGCTACCTCTAATAAAGCGACTCATAGATCAGGTACATGCAATTTCTTTTCTTCCTGAGACTGTTGTGGTTCTTCCGATATTCTGCTGTTCAGATGGGTTGTGAAACTAAATATTACTGACTTCAAGTTTACTCTATAGGAAGAAAAACAAGCATGCAATAATATATTTATATAATTTTTACTTCTTTCACATGAGCTCTTTTAGTAATCAGGGCTCTTAAAATCAGATTATAGACAATGCCTAAGGATCTTTCCTAATTTGGGTAACCAGAGCAAATTTTACTTTTTCTCTGCCATCAGCATTGCATAGTTTTAAGCCATATCTTCTCACTGACTGTCTACGTATACTCAGGGGATCCCATATAAAATTTGAGGTAATTATCATTTTAGGTGAATTCTAAAACTAAAACTATATTCTTCTCTCATTACTTTCTTTATATCAAGACTAGAGGCCCGATGCATGAGATTCGTGCACTTGGGGGCGGGGGGGTCCTCTTGCAGTCCGGGAGCCCTCAGGGGATGTCTGACTGCCCGCTTAGGCCTGCTCCCCTTAAGCCTGCAGTCAAACATCCTTAGCTCTGCTGCGGAGGCAGGAGAGGCTCCTGCCACTGCCGCTGCACTCGCCAGCCATGAGCCGACTTCTGGCTGAGCGTGCTCCCCTGTGGGAGCGCACTGACACAGGGGCAGCTCCTGCATGAGCATCTACCCCTG